AACATCAAGTTCAAGTTCTTGTCGCCCTGATTGTAAATTCGTTACCTTCTTTTTCTGTTGACCCAGTCAAACTAGGGGTGGGGACAAGACACAGTCTGGATTGAGGAACTTGCCTAGCTGACGTGACATCAGATCGGCGGATGCTAGCGTTTAACGTTAACGGCCGTTCGATCGTAATCAAAAATATCGAAGGCTGAGAGTTGGTCATTCCGAATCGGGTTGCGAGTTCATCTAATAGGGTATTCACATCAGCCAGGGTTACCCACAGCCGGCAAGAGAACCTGGGACCTGGCCGGCCGAGAAGGGACCCCGGCCGGTGCCGAAGGCACCCAAAGGCACCCCGCCGGCTGGCTAGCCGGCTGATATTGCAGGCAAATAGTGGGCTCAGCCGGCCGGTAGTGCCAAATGCCGACTACCGAGCCGACAGGACCGGGGGCCAGCCGGCAGCTGGCCGGCCGGGACGAAACCCCGTGGGAAACCCTGAAATTTCACATGCGACTCCATGTGCTCATGCTGGCACCTGTACGGACAGCGTTTGAAATGTAGGTACCGTCTCACCAGGTCGGTTCCTTCCTACCTACTTAAAAGTACTTGCTTTGAAAAGATAAGCGAGGACCGGTATGGTACCGGGTAAATTTGGTCAAAGGCCTGTCGTGCCAAGGTGGACCGGCAGCTTGAGCACCCCAAAATGCGGCGCGCGATGCTCTTGGATACCGCGAGCCATCCCCCTCGTGCTAGGTTGAAAACCTTCATAATCTGGTTGATTTGGAAAGGTACCCACAACTGATAAAAGCGCAACCCGTGCATACTAGGACCAGCTCCGGCGGCTCCTGTTTCCTCTAGAGGGGGTACTGGTCGCTAGGTTTTTGTACTCAGTCGGATGAGTGCCCGCTGGGTACATAAAGGGTCGCAGGTCAGGCAACAAATAAATGGAGTAGCTTCTTGGAAGGAAGCAAGAGCCAGCAAATTGAAAAGGCCAGCGAAGCTTTGCATTGATTCAATGATTGCATGTTTTGCACAACATGTGCATCATGAACGTGAACCTTCCATCTTTTTAGCAGCACAGCAACCGTCTTCCGGCCTTCAGTGTGCGCTGCCTGCTTGTTTTGAAATCACCATCAGCTTGCATAAAGGGAGGAAGTGATACATAATGATTTCGGGGTTTTCTCGAGAGGACATTACAAAGCGATTATCCTAATACCGTAGTGCAATTGCAACAGGAAGGAGTTTTGTGCTCGAGACCAGAGAAGGAATGGCCACTGTACGAGCACCCCCTCAAGCAAACCCGTTGGAGGATGTGCAGATCCTTCATAAGGCGATGAAAGGTAAGCCACAGTTCAGATGGGAGTTCAAATATGCGTTGAGAACAGCTAGGTACATTTGGAGGACATTCAACGAGCAGTCAACCGGAGAACCTTTCATCAAAAAAGTTTGGGCTGTCTTTTGTTCAATTCTTTGCTCAGAGCTTGCAATTGCACGGATTACTCAACCTGTTGTTGAAGTTTGTTCATGATAAGAGCAATCTAGATGTTCCAGGATGTCACGTGTTGCCTGCAGGGTATGTGACACCTGTGGCCTGCAATTGAGGGGCCATTGGAAGTTTTGAAGTATCTACCTAGTTCACTACTTGCCTAGGCCTGCCTGACCTGGGACCTTGTCTTCTCTTTGATCTTGAAATTGCTGCCTTGTTTAAGCACATGTGGCTAAGCCAATTTCAGCAAAGCAGCACGCTCGCTTTGCGGAGTGCTTGACAAATCAGGGAAAAAGTTGTGCGCGTACCCTGCAATCCTTGTGCTAGAACAAAATGGAAGTTGAGCAGGATGATGGTTCTCATCAGTGAAAAGGACAGTTGTCATTTTACTGATGGAAAAGCAGGTATGCCACCTGTTAGTAAACAGAGCAGGCATTCTCCATTGTAGCAAAGCAGCAAAACGGTGGCAAAGTGTGTTGATGAACCTGAAGACTTCCTTGTAAGCCTCAGAATCCTTTCTGGCCTTGGTAAGACCTTGTCGGGCGCTCTAGGTTCAACCCCCAACCAAGTAGTTGTCCCAAGCAATCGCCGTATGTTCTTTAATTCTGCCTCCACAACCTGGGCAAACAAAGTGGTTCCTGTTTGCAGGTTTTGGTTCGGATGAGAAGGCCATCATCTCAGTCATTGCGCACAGGATGTGGTGGCAGAGACAGGCCATTGTCCAGGGCTACACAGCGTCCTATGGTGATGACTTGTACAAGGTGGGCAATCCCCCAGATGTTAAATCGGGTTTTTCCTTCCCTTGCTCAGCACTTTACCAGGTCGCTTTGGCAGGTAATCTCCCGCTTTTCATTTACCATGTCGCTCCTGTGTATAAGTCTTGGGCACAATACGGTTGCTCTGGGTCCCCGTCGGGGCCAGTCGTATTTCAGCTAAAGTGGGTCATTGCAGCATCTTGTCGCTTAGTTGTAGAATGTGCATCATTGAATCCGTGTTTTTTCGTTCGTGCAGAAGCTCAGGAGTGAGCTGACTGGCAACTTGGAGTCTGCGGTGGTTACCTTCCTGATGCAGCCAGCGGAAAGGGACGCAGAGCTCCTGCGCAAAGCATTACAGGACGGGATAATGACAGATGATCAGGTGAGCTGGTTGAGTTCTGGGTTTCAGGAGATTAGCAGATTGAGAGGGGCTCATTTGGAGGGGTCTTTAATGCTGGTAGATGGGGAAGGAATGTGCAGCTCTTGTAGACCAAAATAGTGACTGCACTTCTTTGCAGCTTAGTATACAGCCATGACTGGGGAGAAATTTGAAGTCGAGTCCACTGAATATATGTTCACGATAGACACGGCCCAGAGCCATACTGGTAAGTCAGGATCAGGGTCAGACTTCTTCACCCTACAGTGCATTAATGCACACAGTCGCCCTGATTCTGCTCAACCACTTTGTGCTTTTCACGGAGCGGGAAAGGCAGCGGCGCAGCGTCGTCCGTCCTTGACATGTTCTCGCTCAACTTTCGGTTTTACCAGTGCTTTCACAAACGTGCCAACCTATGAAAGAGGGCCCCCTGACCCGGTCTCAATTTAATGCCGGCTTCAAAAGTAAGGCAAACGCCAAGCCTTTCAATGAATTTCAACTGCTCTCCTTGATGCTGTTTGCAAACAGTATGCCACCCATTGTCCACTTCTGACAGCCTTCCTCATGCTAGATCACCACTCCAGTTCAAAGTTTTCCACTCACTGCTCCACGTTCGAAATCTCACAAGCACCAACCCCTCCCAGCAGACACATTGGGTCCAAAATCTGGCCGAAACTTGTGCAACCATTCCCCGCATTTCTTTCCAATCGTTTCCCCCCCTACTGGCAGGTCCTGATCGAGATCATCTGCTCCCGCTACCCCAACGAGCTCCAGTCCGTTGTGTACGCTTACAAGACCAAGTACAACCGGGACCTGGTTGCTGACGTCAGGTCCACGACACGTGGCGACTTTGAGCGCGTCCTCGTGGCGTGTTTGCAGAGCCAGCGGCCGATGGGTCCCGAGGTCGACATGAACCGGGCGCAGTACGACGCGGATGCGCTCTACAAGGCGGGGGTGGGCCGGATAGGAACTAGCGAGGGCGAGTTTATCCGCATCTTCTGCACGCAGAGCTCGGCGCAGATGGCCGCGATGGCCGACGTCTACGCCAGGAAATATGGCCATGGTGAGGGGGTTGATTTGGCTTTGTTCTGCTGAACTGAGGTGCCTGCCGGTTGAAAAGTACGTGTCTCTTCAAGAACATCGTTGGGAGAGGCTTTCATCGATAGTAGGTCGTTTCCAGCATTGTCTCGTTTTGATGACTACCAGTTGGTATTGCGTTGCTGACATTTGATCTTTTAAGGTTTGTCTCGGAGCCAAAGAAGCTGGCGGAGCATCGCTTCGAGCGAAAGCTCTGATTGAGTTCTCAATTCTCTGAAGCGGTTACAATCTTGGGTTCCTAAGCCTTTGGATACGTCGTGAAGCGAGGGTTGTATAAGGCCATGTTCAGATCTTGAGGGTCGCGATGTGCAAGAATTCTAAAAACGCTTCGGTTGCATGGTGGTTCTTGAACGCTTCCGTTGCATGGTGGTTCCTAAGCGGCGCGGTTGAACCTGCAATATTTATCTTGGTGAACGAATACTTTGTTTCATGTTTATGGGCCTGATCACACCGTTTGGAGAGCCCTAATCTCCAGATTGCTTAACTCCGTTTGTGGTGAGACAAGGGTGATCAGGAAGGATACGATTTGCAGCTTTCACAGGTGGATGACCGCCTGGAGATGGAAGAGACGTTCCAATCTGAACGAAACTCTCCAATCGTTGACACAAGCCCCATGCTCCTGCAGACATCGAGAAGGTGATTTCGAAGGAGCTGTCGGGCGACCTAAAGCGCGCTTTCAAGGCCATCATCCGCTCCCTCCGGAACCGGCCCTACTATTTCGCCAAGTGCCTCCGCAAGGCAATGAAAGGCATGGGCACAAATGACCGGGCGCTCATCCGGACACTTACCACCCGGGCCGAGTTTGACCTCGCGCATGTCGCGCAAATGTTCCAAGCAAAATACAAAAAACCCCTCGCGCAGAGCGTGCGGAGCGAGACGAGCGGCTATTACAGGGACTTCCTTATGGCAATCATGGGTGAATAGAAGTTGGCAGCGGTGCGTCTTTTGCACAGTGTATGAGTATGTGGAAAGGAGGTCTATGGCGGCTTCTCCGCCCTTATAATGCAGCAGGCCTCCGTGCAAATCAGGGACATAGATGCAGTCACTAGGTATGAGATTCGTGCACGCTCTGTAAGTCATACTTTCCTACGTTACGATCTTGTGAACATTTTCAAGGAACTTCTACAGGCTGGCTGTTGAATAGCCCAGTTTCTTGTTGAGAGACACTACAGCGCGTGAACACGACAGCTCTTTAGCTTTGGATATAGATCAGCAATGTGGTGCGATCTGTTACCTTTTCATTCACTTTGAGGCGGTGGGTCCATGCAACATATATCGGCTTTGCTTAATTAGTTTGGGTGACCATCTGCAATCGAGCGCTCAGTCGGCATGCACGCTCTAGCTCAGGCTGATTTGACACCTTATTATCATCTCGAGTACGCCCGGTAATGACACATTTTATTCGTTCTCCGATTGGTCGAAACCCTTTACCCGGTGACTTCGTTGACCACGAAGTCACCTCTTATAAAGCGCACCCTACCCTAGATCGAGACTTCAGAACATCGACACCGTCCAGCTTCCAATTAACCAACGGCAGAGAAGTACACCAGTTGTACCTACCGGTATGTCAGGATACCTAGGTAGGTAACTCTTGTCGACCGGACGGTCTCCCCTAACCCAGAGACTTGAAACTTAGGATTATCTTAGACCCCAGAAAGAAGTGTTAATTTGAGTGTAACATATGACCCCACTTCAGTGTGCTTCAGTGTGACACCTGGGCAAGAGTCGGAGCTGGTTAGCAAGATGACCCGCGGCACCTTAACTTGGCATGAAACCTGAGTAAGGTGGCCATTCTCTTTGCAGTAATCATGTACACATATAGGCGTGTCCATCCAGATAGGCGTGCATCCGAGTCCTTTGTCGCCCTAGCTATATTCAGGCTATAAGATCGTACAAGCTCGCAATTGAAATGCAGAAAGCTGGCTAGAGGGATCCCTTGTAGCAAGCGCATCTGCCCTGTAAATTCAATGCAGGTCGGGAGCATGATAGAGTCGGAATTAGACCTTTGTGTTTGAGGGCCCAGCTTATAGCAACATTCGTATACGATCTTCCCTTTCATCTAGCGCGCATGCATTGAAGAGCGCATGCTGTGCTTATAAATGGCAGTCGCACATGCAAACAGTGACACAGCGGGCCTGGCATGTGAGCAAACGATCATATTAAGAGAATATGGACCCGGTGACTGACATGCAAGTCACCTGCGCACCGCATCAACGATTCGAGTCTCCTGCTGCAGCTGTTGTTGAAGATTGCGTGTGGGAACACTGACGCAGGCAATTGCTGGCATCAACATGTTTGGACTTGGGCGGCCAATGATGGTTTCGAACCTCGGCAACGCTTTTTATCAATGCAGGGAACTAAGTCGTTATTCCCGGGTTCGTTCAGTGGCCATACTATTCTTACAAGAGCGGACAACTTATCGACTTCATGACCTTATTCACCTAAGTGACAGGCTTGCGCTGTCTGCCTATGTTTCTGTTGTAGTCCCTCTTTCATGCTGAAATCTGGAGTACCACGCTCCGCATGCCCAAAAATAGACCGGCTCGCAATCAGAAGGTTACAGGGGGCCCACGAGTACCAGGGGCGGCCTGCGAAGGGTGCTCTCCCGCATCACTCTTTGCGCAAGCTCTCAACCTGACCCGCACTTAATCCTACAAAATGCGTCAACCTCTTTAAGTTACGGACACTGCCACCGGATGAGCTGCTCCTCCGGGATCTCCGCCTCCTGTAGTAAATCGAGCACCTCGTCGATTGTGGCCGCGTCGCCGGCGACCACAACGGCAGTCTGGGTCGGCTCGTACTCTAGATCGTCCTCGTCGAACGCGTGTTTCAGGTCGCCCACAAAACCGTCCCACGGCTCCCCGTTCGTGGCGTCGACAGTCGGCCGCACCTTCACGTTGGCCGACTCCCAAGCAGGCCACACGTTCTGTGCGATAAGGAGACGCGAATCAGTTTCTCTGCTCACGTGGAATTGTCACCCATCTGCTTGACGTATTGATCGTTCTTGGTACCGTTTTTCGAATTTGCTGCAGCCCCAACTTCGACTGGACTGGCACTCGGAACTCTGCGCCACGTAACGTCTGCCGTGTTTCCGGACTGCCAACTGGAATTCAATGTCAGTTGCAACGGCCTTGTCGTGTGCAATATGGCTTCGACGACAATACGCAAAAACGAAATTTATATTGCTGGAAGCAATAGACTTCAACGCGATATGAATGAGTACCCTCTGCTTTCGTTCAAGCTGCCCTTTTTTAGACAAGATTAAGTCTGGGCCGTCCCTCCGTAGTTGGTTACTGGACGATGGAAAGCACAGAAACTGTCGAGAGAATTCAAAATAAGGAAGAGTCATGCGATCTGGAACGGCACTTTCACAAGCAGCAGCGCTGGAGCGTTAAAGCGGCCTGTTTGCCACAGCTGAACTCACAATTCTCTCACAAAAAGACGTGCACAATGCAGAATTCGCGAACCAGGGCAAATCAATTGCTTACGAAGCTAAAGCAGCAGGTATGGGGTTGACGATGCACAGGCGTCCCTCTTGGCACAGCAGAGATTTCGGGTTCTCAAATGAGAACCCCGATCGACACTTCGTGAACTGAGAGAAAGCTAGCTCAAAGTTGCGAAGCTAGCCTGTACCTTGAACGGAAGTTCCGCGGGTGACGGCGCAGAAACGTACAGACGCCCCTCTTGCCGCAAAAGGAAGTTGAGGCTGCCCGTGTCCTGGGCCTCAACCAGTGCGCGCGCCGCAGCTAGCCCGGTCCCCCGCGCAAACACGAGCACGGTCGGGAAGCGCGTGAGGAACAGAATTGGCCGCACGTCCATGCCGGTCTGTTTAAAAGGACCCACCTCCACCTCGTCGCCTGGAAGACGAGAGGAAAAAGGTTGGAAGCAGATCGACGTGCTCTTCTGGATTGGAGAGGCAGAAAAGGGTGATGTCGAAGTGTGTGAGCGAGCAGAAAGCAATATCTGGCTGAACGAAGATGAGGGAGATATCGCCCTGGAGGGACCAGACATCATCATCGCCCTGGAAGGAGACAAGAAACGCCTGATAATGCGCTTCATGAGTGACGGTTGTACAGCTCCTCAGAAACGGTGCCGGTGTAGACATAAGCAGAGCCATGCCAAGATGCAACAATGTGGTCAAAATTGTAGACTAAACATTTGACAGTGCTGTCGACTTCAAAGCCTTGTAAAAGAGCAAGTTATAGCCCTCCATGTTTTTAAGCAACTTCCTGACGAGCAACAGCTGCCATCGCAGAGAAACTCTTCGACCAACTCGTCATGAAGATTCAACCTCAACTACATCTATGACACAAGCAGACACTATCGAGATCCCGTTGCAAGCTCCGACCAACATTCACTTTCCTTTCTGGATAATCTTGTGGCTAAATCTGACATCTGGTTCTCATATGACTCTTAACTTTCACAAGTCCTTCAGCCAAGGAGCCTTCTGATGCCCAATTGTAACTTGAAGGCAAGTCGCACTCTCCATTCCAAGATGCAAGACCTAAGACCTGTGGTTTGATCCGTCTCGCCCTTCTGGCTAGAAGGGCGCTCAGACGTTTCGATCGAACCCCGTTTTCTGCTAGAAATGCCTGACAGCAGTTTCATGATCACACCCAATCGATCAGACATCTGTGTGTGTCAAGAATACGCTCAGCAAGCCTGAAAGCTGCCCCTAGGTTCACAGAAAGAGTCCCCATCATGAGTGAACGGCCCGTACTGATCTTGCCCCTCACCCTGCTTGAGGTTCCACAGGCCAGGCGCTTTCCCCTCCTCCACCCACAGCTCCAGGGGAGCCTTGACTGACATGGTGTACATAGCCACCTTAGTGGACCCCGCCGTGATGTCGCCCCGCATCTTCAGAAGCACCGCCTCGTTCTTCTCCTTTGCAAAGGGCGCAGACGCGGGAACCGCTTCTTCCGTGGCCCCCGAGGCCAGCTTGATCTGCGCCGTCTGGCCGGGCAGCATGTACGAGGCATCGAGGGGCACGATCTGATGGTGAACGCGGGGTGATGTCAGCGGTTGGGAAGGGGTATGGTTAGTGGAGGGAGAGGCGATGTCAGCGGTGAGAAGGAAGTATGGTCAGTGGAGAGAGAGGGGCGATGTCAGCGATGGGAAGAAGGGATGTCAACGAGGAAGTACAGAAGGAGCACTCGGTATGAGCACAAAAATTCAAGGGCGGCAGAAAGCAAGGGGCAAGTAGAGGGATACCAGGATGGGGCACTCTTGGTGAGTAGGAGGGGCGATGTGAGCAGAAGCAGTGAGAAAGGGAACTGCCCCCTGCATGCTTAGAAGTGTGGAACGCCTCAATTTTGAGGAAGTGAGAGATGATGGTGACACACAGAGTTGCGAAAAAGAGAAGGAGTGCCTTGAGCAAGTTTTATCGGCATTGCTACGAGGTCGAGCTCCTAGTCGAGAGAAATCTATAAGGTGTCGATTACAGCGAAATTTGAGAGCTGCTCCATGCTATACGGCATTGTGAAGAATGGCGCTAAGGGAAGCTGCTTGGGTGCATTCATGCCAAAATGCTTATCTGCATTTTGCACAGGCAAAATGGAATTTAGGGTTTGCCATTGCCCACTCCACGTTACAGCCGCTGTTTCCAGGGATCAGCAAGGAATAAGCTTGTGAGCCACCCTCCCCTTTTTACCACCACTCCCATCGACTCCATATGCATCTCTGGTTGACGTCGGACTTCACCATTACCAATGTTCACCAAATTGCTAAGAATTCTCTGAATGTTCACCAATGAGTAAGAACATCTTTGATTGCTGGACCAAATTAGGCGCAGCACACAGCACAATGTGGACTCAATTTCTTTTATTCGCTGCGGAAATTGCCCCGTATCACAATGTGATGAAAGGTGCAACTTCGAACCGACACTCAAATGCGTAGAAGCTGCGCTGGTTTGAGAAACGTGTTCACTAAAAAAGAAGCAAGGAAGAATGCATTCCAAGTTTGCCAGACTGGCAGGTTGATCGAGAAGCAGGATCCATTTTGACCATGTCTTTGCCTCGGAAAAAAGCCGATAAAAGCCCCAGAATATGATACAAACTGTGATTCTTAAATGAAAGCTGATAGAGACATTTACCAGACGGGAAAAGCTCTTAAGCATGCAACAAACGTGAAACAAGACAGGCGCCCAACTTCACATAAGTTGCACTGTTCCGTGAGGTCTGTTGACGCAGCTTTTCTTAGGTTCTTCAATAGCAATTTTGGCGCTCAAATTACGATGGGAATTCCTCCCCGAATGCCACTTTCCCTGAGATATCCAACTCAAACACTTCAATACAACAAGCAAGTCCAGCAACCTTGTTAGGACCTGGAAAACCATTCGTGCTCTGTTAGAGGGCCGGAAAAAAACCTTGGCAGCACTGCTCACCTCTCTGCTGATTTCTGTCTCCAGTGTAACAATCCGTACTCCGGGAGAAATATCTTGCGTGCTTGTGACAGTGGCAGCATTCCACAGTTTTTGCACCCCCTCTAGTTTCTGCTCCTCAGCCTCCGGCTTTGCCTCAACGCTCGCCACCGCACTAACCCTCAACCTCTGCGCAGACTGCTTGCTCCGCCCCAAGAATTTTGTTGCTGGCTTCAACCCTTGTACCTTTAATCTCTGCTCAAAGCGCGGCGCTTTTGTCTGTACTCCGGCATATGTCAGCGGGTTGTGTAGAAAAACTGCATCTTCTTGAGATTGAGATGAGATTGTGCTACCTACTGTGTTTGCAGCGGAGAGGTTCGCTGCACGAGCCAGGGCAGCCATTGCTGCTCAGTGATGCACTCAAACTGTTTGAGCAGATAAAATTAGTGGTGGCGCGGACATGTAATGTATGTAGTGCTTCAAGCAAACACGCTGCAACGAAACGCTGATACTGCACTCAATACAGCAGTCAATGCCGTCTCATAGCATGGCAACGCGCTCTAGCAAAACAAGCGTTCCGCAAACGTGAGCAAACAACACGTTGACAAAGCCAGCACCTGATCTTCCTGAGCCTGAGGCGATATCCAACGGCGTGAGGGTTGATGCCAATGCCAATGGTCACTGGTGGTAGACCAGAAGGACGTCTTCTCAGTAGAAAATCAGTGAAAGCAGGTAGGGCAATGCAATGCACGGACCAGGGAGGAAAAGAAGCCCGTGCCATTGGTTCCGAAAAGTGCAATCACTTTTGTCCACGTGGTAGAAGAATCTCGATGAAGCACATTGATTCGACGAGACTCCAATAAAATCTGTGAGATCCTTCCAGGTCAGCACTCTGGTCCGAATGTCATCAAACCCCGTGCAGAACCCCGTTCGTCGGGTGCAACTGGGCGGCCGCGGGGAGCTGCAGCGCGCGCGCAGGCCGGTGTTCGCATGTAAGGTAGCCTGTCTACAGCCTGTCAATCTTGCTGCTGGTGCAGCAGTTTGGCCAGACGCATCAATGCTTGCAGAGCTAGGCCATCTTTTGCAGCGGCCGTGCTTCCTCCAGAGTATTGCAGGCATCCTGGTGACCGGTCCTGTGGGAACCCACGGTCGGGGATTTGGCAGCTTGCGCACCAGTGTTCTGAGGTAGTCTTTGTTCACGCCAGTGCCTTGTACATCTTGGGCGTACTGTAGTTTGCTTTGGATTTTGCTTCGATAATCTGACAACGAGGCCGCTTACAGGCCGCCCGCGTCAGCTAGAGAGGAGGTTGTATAGCACAACAATCAGGCCGATTAAATGGACTCTTACAAGAATAATGTGGAATCAAAGGAGCATATTCTAAGGTGCTCTGGATCAAAGAAGGCCAGTGGTTGAGCGGCTACCATAGCAATCCTAAGGATGTTCGATAGTAGCCGTTGTACAGAAAGTGTATGTGTCTTTGGCTACGGTATCTGAATGATCTCTCAATCTGGCAACCGGGGGCGCATCTCCTAAGGCACGTCTCTATTCGACTCTTCAGACGACAATCATCTGCCGGGCCCTAAAGCTACGAGGTACATCCTTTGGCAGGCTTGCACCTTGCCGCGCGGCAAGCGATTCGTGCGCGATCCAGATGCAAGCTCAACATCATCCGCAAAGTGGACGTCTTAAAAGTACTGATTGGTGCTTTGTCGTGGGTCGATACAATGTCCTCGTGTCTGTGTCTGCATCGAAGGTTCTCAAAAGCGGATGGTGACTCTGGTTTGGAATCAGCCGCTCCCTGATGCTCGAAGGCGGTTGTTGTGAGCACGATAAGTTTGGGCGCCGCTCTGCTTATCCAGCAGGTAGGGTCAAATACGGGCCGTTGCGGTGTAATGCTGACGTGAACTTTAGTAGTGTAGGTAGTGGGAGCGACGAGGCACAATCTGCGCCATCGGCCAGATAGAGCGTTCGCTTCGTTTCCAACGTGTCGGCTGCTCGAAGACAACGGTACTAAGCAAGGGTACTGCCAAAGCTTTCTAGAGCTCGTATAGACGGAAAGGTTCAAAAAGAGCTGTTACACAGAGTAAGGGCCGTCACGGTAAGTAGTCGGAACCCGCTCATAACCAGATGCATCAGATCAGCAAATCATCACTCAGCCAGCTTGTGCATAGGTTTACGGTACGTCAGACTTGAACTCAATGATCATGCTTCGATTGATACCGAGGCAAATGCGCGTCGGGTGATCATTCCTCCTGCAAGCTTGCAAGACAAAGTTCCTCAAAATTGACGTGGGCTGACGTTCGATGATGACGATGGGACGTTTCCTGTCTGGAGTGACGTATGTCCCATCCGGGATCGTCGAACGTCACGAACATTGATGGACGAGAATCACGGTGGGCTGGTGCATCACAAATTTCTCGTACGTGGCTTCCTCCTGTCCAAGCATCTTTAGCACGTGTCAGTTTCAGTACCTTGTGTTTCGTCGACAGACTGTCATCACCTTCGAATGTCTTTGACTCGAGTCTTTCACGTTCCCGCCAGAATGGTCCGGTTGAAGGAAAGATGGAAGTTGAGAGAATTGAATGAGCTGCAGACTAAAAAGACCTGCCTCCAAGTCGCTTGTTCTGACGCACTGGAAACTTGAGGTGACTCAACAGATTGGCCAAAGAACGGCAAAAGAGCCAAAGAGCTTAGGCGTGTCTAGGGGTACTTGTCTGTCTGTCCGGTGAACTTGTTTTGCGGAAGTGCTTCTTTCTTCTTCAGCAGATGGATCCAAACGAGGACCTCGATCAGTTGGTGCGGCGGGTTGCGGCCATGCTGACCTCAACACAACCGGAGGAGATCCTCAAGGGGGCTTTTTCTTCTGGAGGACGTGTTTCTTTCTTCTGGGCGGGACACGTTCTCCAGGCTCGCTCAAGAGCTGGCCGCATACCAAGGGGGAGCAATCTTGGAGCAGCTCTTGACCGGCGCGCTTCTGAGACAGGAACCTGAAGACGAAATGGAGGTTAGCGTGTCGAAGTTGAACCGCTGCATGGTTTGCTTTCAGGCGCTCGGGACTTTGGGCGCGAGCAAAGTCGTGGTGGATCGGTATTTCGACGGGAAATGGGAGCCTGCAAAGGGGCAGAGCGCGTCTGAAGTTTATTTGAGTCTTTCCGGCGCTTCAACGGATGCGCGCCACCTGGAACGCGGGCAGGTTAACCTTAACCCGTTCGCGAAAGCGATGGTGGTTTTGCCTTTTGAGTGTCTCGCCAACTTCGTAAGGCACTCCAAAGCTTTCCGTCAAGCGATGAAAGAAGCCTCGGCAGAGCGCACTCTCTTCGATCAGCTAGGTTTCCTCGTTTCCGCCGGAGTGCACCGGAAGCTCTCCCCGGAAAACTCGCAGCGGATCCGAGTGGCCATGGCTGACGTGGCGACCTCGCTGGCGCTTTCAGCAGACAGCCAGCTGTGGGCTCTCGACAAAGGGGTGCTCAAGCTCGTTGAGGCAGTCTACGCCGTTTCTCCGGCGGACTACCGCCAGGTAAGTTACGCGGAGCACAGAAGTGATTCATAGAGCTAGCTCAGAATCCTGTTTCTACCTTTCGAAGTCGAAAAGTTTGGATTTGCTGTGATTCAAGGCTTGTGCCTAGCTCGTTTCCTGTTTGGACCAAAGCATTGGCGTGATTAATGTGTCCGGATGCGAACTGGCTGCCCATGGCTGAAACTTGCTGACTGGATTACGGGACAGCTGAGACGGCCGCAGCAAAATAATTTTTCCACTCCGCTTGCAGGGATCCATCAAGTTTAACGCCTTTTAGATTATGATAATTACAATTGACAACTGGTGCTGTTGCTACACCTGAAAACCCACCAGACGAAAACGACGCGCTTGAACGCCCGCAACGCATCCAAACGAACTCCCAGGCAAACGCAAGTGGTCTACCGGGGCCTTCTTATAGATTTCAGGTACAGGTATAAACCATTTATTCAATGCTTGCAGGATTCGTTTCGGCGGGACAGGGCCCCGACGTTCCTCTGCAACGCGATACTGCTCCACATGCTGCACACGGAAACCGCCGCGGAAATGTTGCGCGCGCACAACGCGCTCGTCGACGGATTTCGGCCCCACAGGCGGAAGATCAACGACGCAGCGGGGCCGAAAGTCGACCTCTGGATTTACCTCAAGGGGAAGTTGCAAGGGCGGCGGGTTCGTATCATCGATCCGCGCAACGGTCAGACATGCCGGCTGGACGTGAAAGCGACCGGAACCGGAACTCCGGTCGTGTGCTCGTGGAAAGGGTGCACGGCGGAACCGGAACCTGTGGGGGCATCTTTCAAGAGATGCGCAGGCTGTCATGTGGCTCGCTACTGCTGGTGAGGATTCGTGCGCGTCGGCTTTTGCAAAAAGTGGCCTGCTTCGCAAAGGTCGAACGACCATGTAGACACGTTTGGAGAAATCTTAGTCCGCTTGTCCTGACTTTCCGTGCGGTTCCTTTCGTTGATCTTCAAGTTGGTGCCAAATCAAGGAATTCAGAATTGAATGATCGAGCGGATGCTTCCCTCTGACGGGCACTGACCCTTGTGAATGTGCATCAGATCTCGCAACTAAAGTCGTCAGGTTGCAAGAGGATTGGATCCTCTTATGATGATGGTTTGTGTTCTGTCAGTCCGGCTGTCGAGTGAACGTAGAGGTGGTAGGCCCCTTCGTTCCATTTCTGACGTCAAATTCAGTTGTCACGGACAACAGTTCCGCCTTTCAGTGACAGCTCTTCGCGCAAGCAAACGCTACTTTCACGGACTTCTATTCAAGCCACGAGTCCGCAATAAGGCGTGAAACAACCACAATGGTCAAAGGTACGGGATGTATCTGTCTGAACGAGTTGCCTTGTTTTTCTCCTGCAGCAAAGAGCATCAGAAGCTGCACTGGCCGACCCACAAGATCCATTGCCGGGCGCATCGCGCTAAGCAAGGAAGACATGCGTCGTCACCAGCAGGCGGCGAGGCATCATCCTCCTAAACACTCTGGAGTAATAGTTCTATCTTGAAATGCTTAATCGAAGCTGTAACCCCTCATCGAGACGTCGCGTATTAACCACTTACATGCTCTTAGAGTCAGTAAGATATGTTGCTAGAGACTCGCTCCGACGCGGCCTGACTCCTGAGAAAACGATGCCCCCGTTATCCACTTAGCTGCCCACGTAGATTGGCTGTACATGGAAGATCCTACAGATCCTATAGAAGCTTCGTTCTGCGATTGGTTCAGTGTAAATAGAGCCCCACTGCAATAGAACTAACGACCCCTTGGTGTTAAGGCTTTTAAGTCTACCTTGTAACTTTGCAAGACGCTGCCCCTGAGAATGAACCCTTTGAACTCCTGTTCTTAAATTCTAAGTAGTGCAGTCGCTGGTCACACTCTCCATTATCCTTGGAGTGAGTATATGCCGCTGGAACCTAGGCACGTCGATCATTCCGATGATGAGCGATTCAGCAGAAGCGTGTGCACGTGCCGGAGTTTTGCACGGCAGTCCCTCAGCGGAGCAGCAGATAACTGTTTCCGGCTCATCAGCGAGCATTCAGCGGAGAGGCGAGTGCTATTGAGTGACAGCACAGCAACCAGTGCTGAGTCACTATATACACGACAACGTGCATTAGGGTTTGAGCACCCCAGCCCCGGCTGCTGAAATGCACCATTGTGTTTCAAAGAAGCGTTTAGAAATCGAGCGCAATGCGGCGGCGAGAGGGCACTGCGAAGATAGCTTCCGATAATCCAGTCCGCACAATGATACTAGTGCATGTTCTCATGGTGCTCAGTTCTCAGTTCTAAGTTTCTCTGCAGATCTGCATTAAAATCCATCCAGATTAAGATTTATATAGCGCTCAATTGCTCGCGGCTGTATGATTTTACCAATCAGACTAAATATGGGACGATCCATGGCCTTCCAGGCCGGGCTTATTTTCTCAATCAGGCTCATCAAGTACGTATTGAACGCGCGGTTTTATGCATGGGCCACGTACGTACATAATTGCCGCGGCGTGTCTGATCTCATTAGTCCTGGCGCTCGGAAACATGGGCGACTCACTCTTATTACTACTATGAGCACTTGCTTTTGATAAAAAGTCGTACGTACAGGTGGGCATCTTCAGACGCACATGTCATATCGGATGTCGTCCACAGCACCGTGCACCGGTTGCTGAGCTTCAAGCAGCCTGGCCGCATTCACGGGTCGCTTTTGACAGCCGTACGAACCGAATTTCATTGAGAACACTCCAAAACTATGCACTCATGATATTCATGACGGTCATGGGGCAGCTATTTCGGACGGGGCGAACGTGTATGACACAAATATCACTGACCGACAGTTAGCTGGGATTCGTAAGCATCGTTCTTTAGAACACGGGCAGGGAACATCCCAACTTTTCAAAACATTCTACCATGTATCCTCCTTTGAATCCTACGTCTAGTCAAAGTACGTAACTGAATGAAGCGGATCAATTGCGTCGGACACAATTCCCACAAGGGACGACAGCTTCCGAGAATCCAGCTAACATCCCAAGATAACACCGTACAGTCTCTATGCCGTGCTTGAGGATGGTTCGGCCTCTCCGTTCCCCATTGACGATGCTTTCTTTTCCTTGACTTGATTGACATGTGCCGCGCGGCAATGGACCTTGTGGGTCCGCCAGTGCAGCCTTTGATGCTCCTTGCTGCAGAAGGGAAACATACGCTTTCTTATTCAGAAGTACCCTTCGTACACCTGTTATCGTTGTTTACGGCCTTAGATGGGCCTCACCGTGTGACGCATTTGTAATTCAACTTCAATACTCGAAAAACATTGCTAAGTTTCAGAGATTCGCAACAACTATCAGTACAGGCGAGAATACTGCCCATGGCGGTGATCCTTTCACTTCGAGCGAGATTTGAAAGCCAAGTCCTTCACAATATCCTGACAGAACGAACGGATTATTTCCAAAGATATCACAATGTTCATTTTCAGGTTTCCTACGCTCTTACAAGTAGATGACGCGGTATCTGATCGACGTTCACCAGGTTCTATCTGAGTTAGGCAGAAGTTTGCGCTTGATAACCAGGGCAGGATCGAGTTCGCACCGACTTAAAGGACCTCAAAAGGCGCCGCAAGACAGAAAAGCACCTCAAGTCTTTTGAAGGTGACCGAACGGGAGAACTTGACATTCGAGAGCAAGCAACTATCTGCAAGAAGTAATGGGTAAATGAAGACCCACCTGCAGTAGCGGCTAACTTGACAGCCCGCGCATCTTTTGAACGCCGTCCCCGGAGGCTCCGGTCCCGCCGTGCACTCTTTCCATGAGCACACGATTGGAGCGCCGTCGGCTCTCACGTCAAGGCTGCGCGTCTGAGCGTCACGGGGGATGGTTGGAACCGGCCGCCCTTGCAGTTTCCCCTCAAAGTACTTCCAGAGGTCCAGTTCCGGGATCGCTGCGTCGTTCATTTTCCGCCTGTGGGGCCGGAATCCGTCGAGCGCGTTGTGCGCGCGCAGCTTTTCCGCCGCGGATTCCGTGGGCAGCAAGTGGAGCAAGACCGCGTTGCAGAGGAAAGCCGGGGACCCCTCCCACCCGAGCGCATCCTGGCGGTGGTCCCCAGGAGAAACTGCGAAGACAATATGAGACTTTAAGGTCAAAACGTCTGAGAGGAAGAGACTCGACGAGGACGGGTGGAAAGGATGGAGGTGCTGCGGAAGCATGGATGTCATTCTGTGCTATCAATCTATCCACCATTTTTGTGTTTCAGTGGTAAAATTCCTCTGTGGTTACCACGTGGGGGGCTTGAGCCCTATCCGGACTGGTGACATTCTAGATCGTCATTGAAAAACAGAGTCACGGTTGTACCTGCATAAACTGCCGCAATGAGCTTGAGCACGCCCCGGTCGAGAGCCCACAGCTGGCTGTCCGCCGAAAACGCCAGCGTGACCGCCACATCAGCCATCAGGACTCGGATCCGCTGAGCATTCCGTCTGGAAAGCGTCCGCTGAATTCCGGCGGAAAGGAGGAAGCCCAGCCGATCAAAGAGGGTGCGCTCTTCACAGGCGTCCTTCATGGCCTGCCGGAAAACCTTTGAGTGCGCTGCGAAGTTGGCCAAGCACTCTAGGGGCGCAAGAACCCATGCGTCAGCGAACAGGTTCAGGTGACTCTGCCCGCGCTCGATCTCGCGCGCGCGCGTCAACAGGTGGCCGGAAAGGTCAAGAAATATGCACTTACAGACTCTCCGCCCCTCTGGGCTCTCCCAGCTCTTGTTGAAGTACCGGTCCACCACGACTTTGCTTGAGCTCAGACTCCCCATTGCCTGGCAGCAACGTGCGTACAGGAATTCCGTCGTAACGAGGTCAGTATCTTGACGTTCAGGGTCTTTTTGGGTAACCGCGCCGTCCAAGAGCCGCTTCAAGATGATCCCCCCTTGGTACGCGGCAAGCTCTTGAGCGAGCCTTGAGAACGTGTCCCGCCCCGCAGACAGAAACAGTTCATACAGCAGAGAAGCCCCTCCCTTGATATCTTCTGGATCAGCCGACGTCAGCATGGCGGCAAGTCGTTCCACCAGCTGATCGAAATCCCCGTCCATCTCTTGAAATATAGAGAAACGCTTGAGCAGAAAAGGCTCAGACGCTTAGGTTTATCAGCCGGTCCGTCAAAACGATCTCTCTTGTGCGCCAGAAGAAGTAGACGGGAGGCGTCTTACGGTTTAGAGCGACAGAGCTACCGGAACCTCTCGTCTCCCGTCTTCTCTTCGACCACCTAGACTTGACATTTGCTGAATTTCTGCAGTAGAAGAGGGGCAAAATTTGGAAGAATGCGAAGCATCCTCGACTTCGGAGGAGGCTTGACGACCTAAGACAGACACTAAATGGGCATACGGTACTCTTGAACCAGAGCAACTCGCATGCGACTTGTTCCGTGACTACAGGCCGCCGCACTAAGTAGCGTTCGACGACATCAGGTGACGCCGGACGAACGCCACTTTTGGAAGTTTGTCCTAATGTTATTGTGAAGTCTGCGCCCAAGTTAGACGAGGACCTTCGTTTTGCAAGCTTGCATGCCGGCCCAAAATCCGACGGTTCAAAGCCCGCAGCTGCAGCCCAGAGATTGAGCACAACGACCAGATTCGACGTACTGTGAGGAAGAACATGCATGTCGAGCTGATGACTCATTTCGATAGCGTATTTGAACCTTCATGGGGCGTTTCCTGAGGGCCGACCGTTTATGATATCTTTCAATGGCCTGATGCAATGATGTATGGACTTCCAATGACGTTTAAGTTGGGGCATGCCAAGATGCGGAAGAAAAGCCATCATGTTGTAACGCTTTTCTCTTCCACGTGTGATGCATCAGGCAAGAGATTAGTCGACCGACACATGAGCGCTACCTGTATGATTGGCTGCAGTCTGCGATACTTGCGTGAAGCATGCCGTTATCAGTCGATCATGCACCAAGCCTCGTTATTCTTTCAGTTCAGATTCATGCAAAGCTTAGATTTAAAATTGTCATGGGCCATGTATGCAATCAGCCTGATGCGTCGAGCATTCTAAGTTCTACATGCTCGCCAAGCGTACTTGATGCCGAGTATGACAGATTGAAGGCACGACCGTCATGATCTCGAAAGATGACTTTTCCAAATTTTGGGATCCGTTTCCTTACTGCGAAGGCATTGAAGAACTTGGCGGTTCTGACCAAGTAAGAGTCGCATGCTTGCTCTCGGTCTAAGTCAAAGACTCTTTATGACACTAGGCAGCTCGATCCCATTTGCTCTGCCTCTCTTTTTTATCCTTCTCCTTCTTCATGTATAGTCTCTCCAATACTCGCCGGGCTTCGCACTGGGGGAAGTTCTCCAGGTCGTAGTAGTGCGGCGCTATGTCAATCAGCCTGGAAAGGACAATCAGGGGGTCAAGACTCAGCCTTCTGAAAATGTTTTGGTGAGCATCACGAAGTCCAATCGTATCAGTCAGCCAGATTTCTACGTTTCCCAGCTCACAAACGAAGCACCGTACCAAAGAAAGGTCCCTCTTAGCAAGGCGACAATAAGCCCCGTCCTCGTCGAGCCTGTCGAAGATGGAAACCTTCTTTCTTAATTGTAAGAGTAAAAGAAGCTTGTCTCACCACTCGCCCTTGACTTCTGTAACGGTTCGAATGAAGTTTTTGCTAGTCAGGACGAACTCGTTGTACAGCACCCACTCCGGCTTGTGGTCTAAGCACGCTGAGGGATGCAAGTGCACCATCTGAAAAGAAGACGAGCACATCAGCAGGTCAGTCAGCGACAAGAAAGGCGCTGATAATTTCTGAGGCTTTTAAGGGCTCCCAAAGGCGGCAAGTTCTGGATGCCCACAATCGAAACAGTGCACTGCTTTTCTAGACAATCGGGAATTGATGCCACGAAGGGCGTACCGCCACCACAACGAGACACTGGCCTGGAGAGGAATTGACGAGCATTTCGGCGGCAGCCAGAGAAAGTTCCGCAGCGACCGGGAAGCACACTCGCGCTCTTGCGAAGTGGTGTAGACATCAGCACCAACAATGCTACGTGGCCGATGCAAAGGTTCGTTGATGAGCTGCCACAGTTTTCGCCGACGCAACATACAGCCGTGCGCTATCGCGACACATGGCCTTGCTCCGGAGCCATCCCAAGATCCGCCTAGCTTGCGAACCAACTAGACAATAACACTTCATGTAACGCAAAATTTGTGTCTGGACAGCCGTTGCGAAGCGAAGGGCGTTGGTGTCAAAGATGGTCGCCGGCTGACCTGGTTGTCCTTGACTGTGAGGTAGTGGCCGGTGCGCTCCAGGTGGGCGACCTGCATGAAGAAGCCCGCGAGCATGGCCTTGCGGATATTGATGTAGTACTCGCGGCTGTTAAAATCCGTGCTGCACATCCGCAGATTGTACCTGCCACGTGGACCAATGGAAGAGTGAGAAATTGTTGGTCGTCACGACGGCGGCATTGCTAAATCTGACGGACTGAACGAGCTGACGAGGTAAGCAGCGGCCGACGAAGCCGACTCGTGCTTTTCTCCGTCTGATTGAACATGCGCTTGTGAGTGCTGACGCCCAGTTCTGGTGGGACTGATGACTTATAATTACTACCGTTGATTGATGTAACGGTAGTAATTATAAGTCACTAATTATAATTACTACCGTTATTATAGTAGTAATAACTATAATATTAGTTATATTATATTAACTAATAATAATATAATAATATTCACTAATAATTTATTATCAATAATTGACGATCACCGAGCTTTCAATCTGGTGACGGGAAAGAGCTTTTAAAACGTGGAATTTTCAAAGGCCCCTTGATTGCAAAGCAGTCTTATCATGCACCGACCCGCATAATTTCAAGCGCCCCTTCTACACATCCAGTCACTGAGTGAATTGGACACGAATGACGACGTGCGCAAAATATAACTTCAACAAACGCATGGGAGCTGAGAACGTCAGCTTTGGCTGGACTCAGGCAGGACTCGGGCAGGGGCTTTGCAGTCTGCCTCTCTGCAACATCTCGTGCTTCAACGCTCCAAGCGTGCATCGTAGAGCCTCACCTCGCCATGATTCTTGTTAGCTGGCCGCGCACATTGTCCGCAGACTTGAGCGCCCGCAGGTTGAGGAAGTTGTCGTAGCACCAGGAGGGGTCTTCACCTGTACGGGCGAAGCAAAAGCTGACGTCCGCATAACTGCCGACGGTTGGATCGGAACAACCCACAACAACAGAAGGCGGAGGATGACGTCCGCATAGCTGCCGACAGTAAAATCGTCGGCAGCAAGATCGGAATAACCCAAAACGAAAAGCGGTTGCCGACTGTCAAAGAAAATGCCGACGATTGGATCAAACTGACCCAAAATGAAATGGAATGGTCTCCAACAGACCAGATTCACCTGGCGAATTTAGAGTACCTGAAACCAATCCGGCGCTCTTCGGGGTGTTTTGCTTTCTAGCATGGTCGCACAATAATCTTTTTTTCTAGCATGGACGCACAATGATTCTTCTTTCTAGCATGGGCGCACGATGAGTCCAAACGCCAACTTTCGCCCACGAGATTCGAATGCAATCTGAACGGTCTCCTAGCATGGACGCACAATATTCCAATCGCCAACTTTCGTTCACGCAACTCGTATGCAATCTGAACGGTCCGATCTTGAGCGCGAGAGAAACGGCGACTCACTGTTTTGTTTGTAGGCGTGGTACACGTTGAGCAGCGTGAGGTGGTCGCCGTCAATGTGCGCGAAGCGGGCCTTGGCCTCATCCGCCGCCTTTTGTGCCTCTCTCGGGCGCAGGAAACAATTGGGGACTGCTCGGGGGGGGGGCGCCAGAGCACAACAGGGGGCACAAGGGTTGGGGGGACACCGCGGGCACACAGGTCAGCCATGAGATGAGGCAAGGCGACCCCCCCGATGCGAAAGGGGGGGAGGAGCGACAGGCGGGCCTAAGCAGCGGCAGCAGAAGAGCCTGAGAGTGGGAAACACGGCCGCCATTACGAAGATCGAATGTGGAAGAGTACAGCAAAAAGCAACAACAACAGCATGCAAGAACGCAGTGTGAACAAACCGGTATTCTGGAAATCCATTCTGAGAGGCATAATCAAGATGCCCACACAGTTGACGCAGCAAGGGACACGGTTCTTCTCACACAAATGACTGGGCATTCGAGATGCGTCCAACTGGCGAAACTTGTGGCCACTACAAGTAGAAGGCACGCGCAAATGAAGCGTACGAGAAAGCGCAGGGTGAGCAGAATGAGGGCGGAACGAGGGCGGAACGGAGCCTACCGGACAGCATGGCGGTGATAGAAAGAATCTCGTTGGAGCAGTTGAACTGGGGGCTGGCGACAAGCATCTTGGACAGCTGGGAAGGGGAGAGAGGACAAGATGAGCCAACTCAGAACAAAACGGCCAAGATAGATTGCCAGGTATAGTTGCAAAAGAACTGACTAGGATCCACTCCTTGTCGCTTTTCACAAAACGCGAGGAGCAAGCACGCATGACCACAGCGCAATGGACCCAAAAGCCATGCAACGCATGACTTCGTTGTATATACTTCGAGAGAAGCTGTCACAGATAGCTGACTGCTCACACAGCGGAATGCTATGGTGTAGGTTTCTTCCAACTGAGAATGACAGCCGTTCGTCAACATTGTAACATGTCATCTCCTTCCAGCATCTGCAAAAGACCGTGTCAGAACCCTTTTACTGTAGCTCTCAACAAAGAGCAGCGCTCGCTCGGCTTTTTGCAAAAATTCAACCCCACTCAGATGCCATAAAAAGAAAATGTTCCCACCTGGGGGTCAAGTGGGAACTCGCTCATGAGCTCGCCCGTCTGCGTGAGGTTGCCGTCGTCGTCCAGCGCGCCTAGGTAGTTGAGCAGCTCCAGCGCGCGCATCAGCGTCTCGGGCGCGGGCGGGTCCATGAAGTCGAAGTGAACCAAGTCGTCAATGCCCAGCTTCTTTAGCTGCAGAAAGAATCAAACAGGAATTCATCAGCACGTAGCAGGTTCGGTGTCTTTGATTTACCTGGGTCGAGTGAGATGGCAATCTAAAGCCTCGAGGAAAATCCACCTGCTTTCCTAGCACTACGGAATGACGCGAAGCAAGCTGACGCCGGAAAGCGCTTTGTGGCAGGCGAGCGAGGATGCGTAAGTACAACTGCCTTGGTGAAAAGTTGGCGGAGACACAGTCACTCAATTACGACGCTCTGGATCCCAATCCATTGACCTCCTACTCGCCCCTCTAACTCGACCCTCGCAAACACTTTTCCAGGGGCCTGAACAAGAGCCCAACGGTGGAACTCAGAAACCTGAAACGTCTCTCTGCCCTGCCTTCGCGGAGCCTTCCGTGACTAGGCGTGAGCTAGAATGGGGTCTCACCGTGAGCACCACGTTAGCCAGGTTGGACCGCAGGATTTCGGGGTATGTCTGCTCCTGCAGGTCCCCGGTGAAGCTCTTCTCGGTGTACAGCCGGAAGCATTTCCCAGGCTGTGTACGCCCAGCACGCCCCGCACGCTGGTGCGCGCTCGCCTTGCTGATGGGGGACACCAGCAGGGACTCGACACGGATACGGGGGTTGTACACCTGGCGGGATGAGGCGGGGGGGGGGTTCAGAATGAGAAGGGAACAGAGAGGAGGCATGGCAGACTTGGGCCGAAAACAGGGGAGGGTTGGCCAGAGCAAATCGGGAACAGGGATAACTGGAGACTTCCAAGAGTGCAGAATGAACGAGGCTCATCGAAAGTCCGGTCAGTTCGACTATGATGAAAAAAAGTCACGATAGAGCAGTAGCCTGTGGGCATACCTCCCCGATGCTCCGCCTTGAATGGTCAAGCAAGGATCTCCGGGCACTCGGGGCATAATGTCTCACAAAATGTATAAAGGGTCTGCAGCAAACACTTTATAGCTGAATGTCGTAATGATTCACACTTGCTGTGGACCAAAGTTGCACACTGAATCAAAAAAGCTGCCCGTTTACCCCCCTACCATCGGATCAGAACCGGATGTAAGAGTTTCTCATCAGTGCACAACAGATCGAATAAGGTGCAGCGCATCCTTCGTTTGCGTCTGAAATGAAGAAGCCCTTACCTTTTGTTTTGCAAACCCGGGATCAATCACGTACACAATCCCGTCAATCGTCAGCGACGTCTCCGCAATGTTCGTTGACACCACAATCTTTCTCCCAGGAGGGCCGCCCTCCTTCCGTGGCGGCGGTGCCGCATCGAAGATCCGTTGCTGCGCGGCGGGGGGGAGCGTCGAGTAGAGGGGCACCACTTTGACGTCCCCCACCTGATCGCCCAGATTCGTAACCTCCCTGTTTATCTTTTTGCATGCGTCCTCGATCTCTTCTTCACCCGTCAGAAAGACGAGGACGTCGCCCGGGGGCTCGCAAAGATGGATCTGAACGACGGTGCGGATTGCGGCCTCGAGATAATCGCGCTCGGGCTCCTGTGTGTAGAAGATCTCCACTGGATGCAGCCGACCGGGAACTTTCTGCACGGGACATGGGCGGGCTTGTTCAGGAGCTTGCCACTGCTTGAAATTATGACCGTGGTTACTCGTAATAGCCAAAAGCTGCTTCCACAAACGAGTTTGCTCTACAGCCTTCAGCTGTATCTGACAACAACATTTGACATACGGATAGCCAAGGGTGACCTTTTCTGAACAAAGCGAGAACCGCCAGAATGTCCGAGTCCGTACAGAAAGCATTAGCCAATACTACAACATTCCAAGCGATCCATCTGGGTGCCAGCGGAGACATTGGGTCTCGGGAGTCAGATAACCAGACAGAAGTAACACGCCCATATAGGTCCCATTGAAGTGGTTTGTCAATAGTGGCATAGCTCTCATCCCACGCTGTTGAGTTGCCTCAATCCGACCACAACCACAGACTCGCGCTCCAGCCCATCCGCACACATACTGGGGGCACCACTCACCATGAGCGGCGCAGACTGGAAGTACCCCTGGAACTTCTCGGCTTCAAGCGTGGCGCTCATGACCACCAGCTTGAGCGTCGGCCGCCGCGCGAGCACCTGCTTCAGCAGCCCGAACAGCACGTCCGTGCTCAGCGTCCGCTCGTGCGCTTCGTCGAGAATCAGTACGCTGTACCGCTCGAGCATCGGGTCGGTCATCGCCTCGCGCAGGAGCATTCCGTCCGTCATGTACTTGAGGACAGTTTTCGGGCCGCTGAGGTCCTCGAAACGGATGCTGTACCCGACCTCTTCGCCGAGAACGACGTCCATCTCCTCTGCGACACGCTTCGAGACAGACATGGCGGCGACTCGACGGGGCTGTGTGCAGGCGACCATCTTCTTGCCAGCAGTGAAACCGGCCTCGACGACAAACTGGGGGATCTGGGGGCATGACAAAATCGAATGTCAGCATGAATACTCTTGAACTCAATAGTCTGATGCGAGGTGGTACGGTCACTATTCCTCTTAACTCCCACTCCGAACTTTCTGTAAATGCCTGTTCTATAGAAGTAGGCCTTCATGCAGTTGGACGATTGCGCCAAACCCTAATCCTGAACACGGGCAACACACACTCATAAGGTGATCATCTGCACCGTATTGCGACTATTATGCCGCATGACACTAGTAAAAGGTTGTCCAGCAAATGACGTTGGAAATGAAGGGGCGCAAGTGTCAGCTCTCAAAAATCATTGGCTTCGTGAGAGGATCAAGCACACCTAAGGACTGATTGCTAAGGACACATGAACGAGATTAACAAGGAACAGGAAAGTGGTTGATCCAAAGTAGGACTTAAAAAGATCCAACTCTTGACAACCATTACCAATATTCGTGCAGGAAACAGCATCATCTCAGACTGTTCAATCTAAAGAAATTCTAGAACACACGAAGTATTTTCAAGCCTACCTGAGTTGTCTTCCCACTCCCCGTCTCTCCCACCAAGATGATGATCTGGTTGGCCGCAAGCATCTTGATAAACTCTGCCTTCTGCTGCCACACGGGTAGAGTCTTCCGCTTATCTAAGATGTCAAAATACCTCTGCGTGTAAGGCCGTCCGGTCATAGTGTTGATTGCAGGCATGGCTCCATTCACCACCACTTTGGGTTTATTCGGATCCCGGTTATCGTCAAGCTGATCAAACAGACTCAGCTTGCGTTTGCGGTCCCCCATCACTGAACCCTTTGCTTCTCCACTGCAAGAAACTGCAAGATAGACGAGGTGATCCACAGGATTGTGGAATGGAGGCGGTCACCAGCTCACAACTTGGCCCTCGTGCACGACTCAAACATCCAGGTGTGAGCTGCCTGCACTTTTCCTAGCCTCGGGCAATAGTTAGCTGAGGTAGGTATCCATCATGCGTATCTAAAATGGTGTAAATACACTCTGCTGCAAATTCTTGAGTCATAGGTATAATAGGTATGCAGCTCTTGGCTCTTAGAAAATAATGGTACAGCTCATCTGAACGGCTCAAATGAGGAGGATCCCCCAGATTGTGCTGAAAGCTAGTGATCGGACGGCTGCCTTACTCAAAAGGCGCCAGCCAATCGGCCGTAACATATGATCGCGGGGCGCAATTTTAGGAGCCCATGAATCATGATGCTGTCCAAAATGGCCAATGCTGCAGCCTGTTGCAGAACCCGAAGCTGCAGCTTGATCATTGATGAACACTCAAACCGGGTGAAGAAGCCAGGATCTGCGGGGCGCCGCTCGTTGACATAACGAGTGGGGGCTGAAGGAGCCCAAGGCCTTAGCGTTGCGTTCCTTGTCAAGGGGTGGGTGCACCTTTGGTGATTCATCGAGGCGGCGAAGTTTGCTTGGAGGCTACAGCTGACGCGACAGCTGGTGTTTAAAGAGGTGCAGAGTGCCTGTCTGTGCAAGATCTCTGAGACTGCTCGTCTCTGGAAGCGGCTAGCGGCTGATTTCTACTTCCTTTGTTAACCATAGTTTGCCATCTTGTAGAAGCTGTCATTGCGTTTGGAGAAGGGAGCGCTCTAGATCCACACAAAAAGCAACTCAAGAGTGAACTCCGTGTTATGTCATTCAAAGCTTAAGAAGCCGGATCCTTCAATGGTCAATCATCTTGAACACTCTGCTCAACCATTTTGCTCAAAACCTTTTGGGTTCAAAGGAATGGTTAGGAATTGAGCAAAGTCCACGGTGTTGGCTGCCCTGTAAATGAGCGTGGCAACCCCCAGTCTGCGCCGGGTTGCCAGCTATCAGGGGGATCTCCTTGAGTCAGGCGGGCTGCCAGATAACAGCATGCTTGGGAAGAGCTCCTTTCCAGGCCCGCACCGCACTCAGCTGCCCCCCCGCGCAACGCTAGTCGGGGGCAGATCAACAATGGAGCCTTTGCCCCGATGGAGATCCCGCGCGTCGTTCCTTTTCACATTCATCCTCATTGCGCTTTCGCTGCTGTACTTGTCGACGTTCTCATACGCGAGCAGAGTCACTTTAGAGGGGACTGAAGCCATAGGGTATGGCATTGTGATTGATGCCGGCAGCAGCGGGTGCCGGCTGCACGTGTATAAGTATACGGCGGGTCGGCCCGTTCCCCAGATCTTTCCAGCAGATCTGTCTCTGAAGATCAGGCCCGGGCTCTCGTCGTTCGCCGACAATCCCTCCGCAGCCGGCGCATCCTTGACACAGCTGATGGAGTTTGCCCGTGAGAACGTCCCGGCGTCAAAGCGGGCGGAGACACCCATCTTTTTGATGGCCACAGCAGGGCTGAGGCGAGTGGAAGCCAGCGTTGCGGAAGAGATCCTGGAGTCTTGTCGGAAAGTGCTGGCCGGCTCGGGGTTCATGTTCCGGCCAGACTGGGCAAGCGTCATTTCGGGCACGTTCGAGGGGGTTTATGCGTGGGTTGCCGCTAACTATGCGCTGGGGAATCTGGGCATGCCGGCGGCAGAGACGACGGGGGTGGTGGAACTGGGGGGAGCATCCGCACAGGTGGGCTCAACAATGCCCTTTTTAAGCACTTTTGCATAGATTGTGGCCGTGTTTTCGATTTAAACTTGTTGAGCTTGTTGTAGCGCATGAATACTGCAGTACCGATTGATCAATAGTTGAGGGTTTGTCACTAGTCTGGACAAGCGGGCACTGGCGGTCTTTTGAATCTCCTAGATGCTCTCTTTTTATTGTGCCCACCAATCGGATCCCAGTCAGGTGCTCACGATTTACTGTCTGGTTCACGTGGGCACGTAAGGCAGATTGATTTAACAGCTGTCTGTCACCAATCTAGATGCCAATTACACCAGAGCAACTTCCGGCCAAAATAGTCCTGAAACACTATATCTCCATTGTTGCTGATCTAAAATCCGCATTGGAATGTGAGTCACAAAGATACGATCTTAGTACTTACAAGCGCTTCTCCTCGGAAGATCACGTTTGACGAAACTGACCCATGATGCAGGTCACGTTTGTTCCGGAGGTGGCGCCCCCGCCCGAGTTCCGGCACGATCTGCAGCTGGGCGGCCATGAGTACATCTTGTACACGCATAGCTTCCTCAACTTCGGCCAGGCAAGACAACGTTTTTCTCACAGGGTTCAAGATTGAGTTCGGGGTTAGCGGTATTTACACCTCCCTCGAAATCTACTGGGCAAGAGGAAGCTCCCCTGCTGATCAATATAACAGCAAAGTACCTATCGCTTTTTCAATCTTGGCCCAAAGATACAAGGCTCAGTGAGCGATTCTAAATGCTCCATGTGGTCTGAACCTGAACGATTGAAACAATAGGTATGGATGTTGATGACATACCTTTGATTTATTCTTTCACCTTTTGCTCCAGCTTTGGCTGGGCAGGGAGTGCTTTCTTTACATTTTACTCGATTGGAGTTGGAAGCTCGTCCTTTCTTCCTGTCAAAGTGGCGCCAACATAGGACCAGTTCAACCTGGTGAAACTGGCATACGTACGCAAATATTGGCTACTATCGTTTGCGAGAAGTTACAGCGCCAACATATCAGAATCCTTCTGATATGCTTCGATAGATTGTCCAGGCTTCATGCATGTTGCACCAGGTTTGAAACCTGGTCGTGGAGATCGCAGACTACCCACACTCGTGACTCCTCCGGTTTGTAGCTTTCTTATGCGTGCGCTAGCTTTTCGTGGTGTGCAACTTTCTTCGTGGCCAATCCTCCCGGCCCCTTATGCCAGTCAGTCAAGCTAAATTCTCTTCCACTTTTCTTTCGTCAAACCTAGCAACCGGACCCTTGAAATGATCCGCATTCTACGTCGTCTGACGTTCTTGCTCGGATCATATCGGATCCAAGCGCAGCAAGCCCGCTCCAGGTTCAATAACAGTTTGGTGCAGATATAAAAACCAAAAACCGTGTTCTAAAATGTCCTCCGAATGTTGCAGGAAGCCGCCATGGACGGAGTGCTGGCGGATCTTCTAGCCGGCAACGTCAAGCCAGGTGAGCGCCTGATCTCTCTTGTGTCCCAATATGGAATGTCATGCTCTCAGAATCTCTTGAGTTTCGAGAGTCCAGGGGCTTACTTGTGAGACACCTAAAGGTTTGCGTTGTGCAAAAAGGAGGAGGGCCAGCCCATTCCACAGACATTCCGATCTGCATTGTATGGTGACGTTGCTTCGTACATATACCATTTTGCTGAGCAGTAGACTGTTTGACTGTTCTCGTCAAACGCTGGGGACGCAAGAAAATTTGTCATCGACATGTAGCAAATCGGATATCCAATTTGTACTCCTATTGTCTCCAGATGCTGAGCTGGCATGCAGACTTTTGATTTGCCTATTTTGGGGGTCGGCTGTCTGGTAGATCACAGCTTTCTGGCCGTCGATTGTTGCATCTGGGTCATCGAACGGCCCAGGTTCTGAGCTCGCTCCAATACGGAGTGAGATCAGGTGGCCTTTTCCAATTCCTTTTCCCAGGCGAGGTGGTCGAGGCCCTGGAAGAGGAGCTGGCGTCAGCGGACGTCAGCAAGCGTCCGCGGGGGTCCGCGCTAGTCGATCCGTGCCGCCCGAAGGGATACCTCTGGAAGGCGGAGGAGTTGGCGCTTAAGGCGGCGGCCGCCGCCTTGTCTGCAAAGGTGCGCAACCGCTCAACTTTCGTAGCAGCGCCCGGACTGTTGAGTCAATCCGCTTAGTTATTGTCGTTTTTATCCCTCCGCCGCGATTTCTGCGAAGGTGCGCAACCCGTCGACTTCTGTAGCAGCGCCCAGCAGCGCCCAGAATGTCGAAATTCCCTGCTCAACGATGCTAGTATAGCTATATTGACTTTCGGTAGCGCTGGCGAGGTTGACTTCCGGTATCGCTGGCGATGCTTGGAGCTCTCTGATTGGACCGTCCTAAAAGCTCGCTGACGGGTGTCAATCTGTACTAGGACGGTTCTCCAAGGTCGGTTTCGGTTGTCTCAAGCGGGGCGTATCTTTGGCGCGAGGCGACCCCTTGCAACTAGTTGGATCTTAGTAGCGCTCAGGTGTCAATTCCTGATTGAGCAAACCCCAATCCGTTTTCTGGTTTGGTGCAATCCAAATCACGGGGCCCTTAACCGCAGGGACAACATGTTGCTTTCGACGAGGTGTTCGATGCGTCCCCAACAGGCGAGGAGATGTCGAATCTCGGGAATGTCGCACCACCTAATGCATCACAGACTGGCGCTGCAACGTGTTACCCTGCGCTTACCGGGCCCGAGAGTGTTTTTCTTTGCGCAGGGCGACGATGCGGGGAAGGAGCGTGCGCTGGAGGTGCTCGAAGCGGCGGGGAATTTCACCGAGTGCCGGGCCGCGGCGGTCAGCCTGTTCAAGAAAGGCAGCGGTACGAGTTCCACGAGCTTTTATTCGCGACCAGATTTTGCGAGAGCAGAAACTGACGTTTGCGCGGTGTGATGCACTCTGGTCCTGGAGCAGCACGCCGAACGCCGTAACCTCTGTTCCGCCACTGTGGCGCTGCTCTGAGCTGCAGAGCCGCGCTCTTCCGAGGCGTAGGTTGAGACTTTTTGTGAAGCATACGCAGCAATGAAGGGCTGCGCAGGAGATGCTCCTGAAAGGCAGCCGTTTGCGGCGCTCATGCGTCCCCTTAGTCAAAGCTGTTTGTGCAGAGGACAGCTGCGGAGGCTGCTTTGGAATCAGGCGTATCTTCTTAACAAGAACATCGGTTCTTCTCCAACGGTGTCCGGCTGCCACTGCCTCGTTGAAGATGAACGGCTTGCCCTCCTGATCCCGTTGTTTCATACAGGATTGCTTTGCGTTCACCTCGCGGTTTAGCAGGATTGGGAACGAACTTTCGCATTATCTTGAAGGTGCCGTTCCGAGCTTGGTTAGCCAATGTCCTGGACTACTGAAATGCAGAAAGGAGGAAAAGGACCTGATGCAAAATGACATTATCTGTGCAGACGCGTGTGCATTTGCCAAGTGCCCAATCGGAGGTGCTTATGTCCCGGAGCTCAAGGGGAACTTCTTTGCAACCGAAAACTTTTTCTACACCTCCGAAGTGAGTTTGAAGAAGGAAGCCATTGCAAAGGAAACGTCAACAATTCCTAGACAGATAAAAATGGATGAGCTTGGTGCGTCCTGCTCACTTCAGACAGCCTTTGCAAAGGAAACGTCAATAAACTCTAGAAAGATAAATTTGAATGAGCTTTGTGCGTCCTCCTCTTGAGCAGGGCTGGCTGAATCTTGTCATTCTAGATGTAGTGCTTGGAGCCATTCGCGGATTTTGCATTTTTGCCTTTGCCCTGTTGGATGGTTCTGTAGTGGTTTGTATGACCTGCGTTGTGACAAGGAATAGTTGAACGAATGCGGATCCGAGAGAGCTGTTTAAGAACGATTGTGCAACTTTCAATTCCGTTGAAGCGAGGGCTGCTGTTGGGAAGCAAAGGGCGTTGTAAGGAAATTGAGAAGCACGGACGCAAGAACCGGTTTTTAATAAGTGAAGTATTTGTCAGAGCGGGTGACAAAAGAGTCGCGAGACGCAAGACGATCCAGTAATCACAACACTGAAATAGGACGCTCCTTCCAGGTCTCTTGAATCAGAACGGAATCAAGTAGACGGACCGACATGGTCAAGAAGCATACCCAGACATGACCAAGGAGAGATCCGACAAACCGCTCCTGTTTGCAGTTCTTCAAGCTGCCCGCAACTAGCACGCTGACGGAGATCGCGGCCGCGGGTGAGGCGTTCTGCTCGGCGGACTGGTTGGCGCTGCAAAAGTTGCACGAGGGCGTGTCGGAGCAAGACCTGCTCAAGTACTGCTTCAGCGCGGCGTATATCACGGCGCTCCTGCATGACGGGCTGGGCTTGCCCATGGATACCACCAAGTGAGTAGAGCTACTTTTGCTGCTAATCATGAAACGAACCGGCTGAGTACCTGTTACACTGGAGTCAGTCCCTGTCCTAACCTTGCGAAAACCCTTGCTGACGAGGCGCATGTATAACGGCTCTCCTGCACGACGGGCTGGGTCTGCCTATGGATACCACCAAGGGTCTTTACACACAGGGCGGGTGTTCTTTTTCGCAATTCGCCGAGAACTCAAGGTGTTGTTTTGCCCAAACTCTCCGCGCGAAACTTCGGGGGGTACCTTCCGCACGCAAAAGTAGTCCCGTGCGACGGTCCGAAAAAGTTTACTTTCGCTACCCGGCTTTTTTTGGGGTAGCACTTTGGAACACCGCGGTGTTTTTGCTGACGTATGATCGTACGAGTCGGCGAATTGGCAAAAACACCCGCGGTGTTTTCCTGGCGACGGTACCGCCGCGACCCCTGCTGTCCCGTCGCTCGAAACAAAAAACACCCGCTCTGTGTGTAAAGGCCCCAAGTGAGGGTTCAGAAACGCGCCAAACTTTTAGTCCGTTTGGTTATATTCCAGTGTATCTGGAAGCCCTCTTTCAAAGTGTATGAAAAGCCTGTTGAACGTGTTGACGGCACAAAGCGCGCACGGGGTATGTTACAGCACTCCTGCACGACGGGCTGGGCCTGCCTATGGATACCACCAAGTAAGGATCACGAACGCCCCTGGTACTTCGATTTTGAGTAAACGGTCAAAGTTTCCTCCAGTCGGGGCTCCTGCCCTTGGACTCCGCCAGTGGAACTTATGCGTGTAAACTCACTCTATAGTCCGTGACTGTGCCGTGATCGTCAAACCAGGTGACTGACTGAAAGTCTCGTTCTTGGCAGGGTCCGCTTCACCAACTTTGTGGGCAGTACGCCTGTCGACTGGGCTCTGGGGGCCATCATTTATCAACTGAGCAACGGGATTGGTGTGCAACCCCCATCAGGGGGACGGTTAGGCGGCCCCTCCTTCCTGGCGGTGTTTGCGGTGTTAGGAGGGGTGGGATTGGCCGTCTTTGCGTTTAGGACGCTCAGGGCTTACCGGCGTTCGACCGTGACGACCATCTACGACCTCGAAAAGGGGCGGTACATACTGACACCCAACCGCAGCTTCTATAAAGCCTGAGTAATCCGATCTGATTTGTTCAATCTTCAGCTCGATTCCAAGCAGGAGCTCAGTACTAGGATTTAATCAAAAACGTGATCCCGGCCTCTACAGTCATACTTCGCAGTTCTTTGCATCAAGTCACGGCTGCACGCAAGCCTGCGCGACGGTGTTGCTTGAAGTCCCTGTTCGATAGCTCGATTATTGTTTAGTGTACCGATTGCTGGCTGCGGCATGGGAGCCGTTTTATTCAAGACGGTGCGCTTCCATCAGTGGCCTTCTTCAGTGCATGGCCCGGTGGCAGCAATTTATGCATGGGCCAGGTGCTGGCATCCGACCGTACTTAGTACAGACCTAGAAGTATATATATACCATCCGGTGTGCGACGTTCTAGCTAGCACATACTCGCAGAATCCATTGGAGCGCGGCCTGCATGTGCATGTGGTGAACATGCCAGCCGGCAGGGGTGGGCTAGTAATTCTGTGGGCCGAATGATGTAAGTTCTGGCGGCCCCCGCCAAGGATAGATACACATGGCACATGGCAATTGTTGCAGCCGCCCCTCAATATATGGCTCAAAGGCATCCATGCTCGCGTAGTTTATCATGCACAGCTGCTTTCCCAATGCAATGAGCGCAGCGTGTAGCCTGCAAAACTGCGACTCAAGCCAAACTCCTGGCTAGCATACGCCCCATCATATGCAGTTTCGAGGACTTATTGATTGGGTACATGCAATCCAATCGTCTTGTGCAAGATATCCCTATGCCAGTCACCATGTACAAAGCTTGGATTGAAAGGCTTAGGCCGCCAGCCGGACATTGCCCAACGGAACCCTGCCAGGCAGCCAGCAGAGACTGCAGTGTCGATTTCACATGTGCACGCGTCGATCATCTGCCCATGACAAGCTTCATTAACAGATCCCGTCCTTAAAAGATGTAGAAGCTTTTCAAGCAGACTAGAGTATCCCTGCTTTGGACACATGAAGATAAAGAGCACCTTTTTAGCAGCACAACCACAGTTTTACCCATGCATCTAGCATGGAACATGCGCCTGCTCAGACCAACGATGGCCAACTCTTAGCCTGAGCATTCCAACAACTCCAGACCGTGATCAACTGGCTCTATTTCGGAAGGAGCTCAGCAATCATGCTTTTGCCATCTGCGGGCTCTAGCTTTGCAAAATTCACTGGACAACCTCGCCGCAGTCCAGGATCTCGACCTTCTTCTTCGGCTTGCCGCTCTGCGAACCTTGCGCCTCGACTTGCATGATAATGTCCATGCCAGAAACGACCTTGCCGAAGACAACGTGCCTGCCGTCCAACCTGCAAACATTGTTTGGAATGAGTTGCTCTACACACCAGACCTGAATTCTGGCTTTGAAACCAAGGCTGATGGCACCTTCAATGTGGTCAAGCACAGCCCAACATCTAAATCAGGAAGGAGACTACAACTCCTGCTCTCCAAGCCGGAGCTCAAATCAGTAGAACTGCATTACGGGGAGCATCCGAGGGGGGTGAAGATCAGATAACCAAGGGCAAGGGTGATTCTGCTCATACTTACCAACTGGTTTTCACAGTAGTGATCTGCGATGAGAGAAGAATTGAGTGAGCATCGAAGGAACACAATATCGGCAAAGCACATACCAGGAGATTATGGGCCAGCACTCAAAAAAACATTCATTGAGCTCTTAGAAACATTGACAAGATAGCAAAAAGGCTCAGTCGGCTTGCTTACAAACAGTCTCGAACCAAGTTTTCTCGTCCATCAGCAGCGGTCATTGATCCATGGCCCTCAAGTCAATCCATTTCCACAGCTGTATCATTAATGTAGAAGCAATCTCCCTGCGGTGTATCCAAAGAAAGATCACAAAGCATCTCAGTTACTAGTCTGACAGGAAGAAAGAGGAGTGGTCGGCTTACAAAGAACTGACTGCCGTTCGTGTCAGGACCAGCGTTTGCCATGGAGAGCACTCCTACACACAAAACGCTTGTCGTCAGCATGTGAGGGAACAGAGAGATGAGCAGGTCGACCCAACAACCATGAGCAACACATGTCTGCAAGAATGGCCGATGCACAATGACAGATAAGGGTTGACGCACCTGGCCCAGTGTGGGTGAGCTTGAAGTTCTCATCAGCGAACTTGGCTCCATAGATGCCTGCAGAACAACCAGTAATTACATGGTAAGCAGACACAACACCGCCAAAGGACTATGCCAGAGACACCCTAACAAGCCACCACAATTTTCATGATGCAATTTGCGACAGTGGGTACATCAGGAAGACGAACAAGACGAACAAATTTGATCAAATGCAATCTGGCAATTGAGCGCGAGATGACAGACTTGCAAACTGGCCCAAGCTGCAAAACAATTTTGCCTTCAGGCAATTGAGCGGTAGCGCGACCACTCACTTTCTCCCCCTGTTCCATCCCCCCGTGTAAAGTCACCACCCTGGATCATGAAGTTCGGAATGATGCGGTGGAAGGTGGAGCCCTTGTAGTGAAGAGGCTTGCCAGAAGTGCCGGTGCCCTTCTCGCCTGAGCAAATGTCAGCGTCATGAGCAACTGCGGGTGCTGTTCTCAACAGCTCATCTAGACACAGGCTGCTGAACACATTCTATATTACAAGCAAACCTGACCAGTTTTATCTCCGGAACCACCAGTCGCTCATTCTCACAGAGGAAATCATACACTATGATTGATTGCATTAGCAAACTGGTCCCATTTGAAATGTGAGGAAACATGTTAGGACTCCATTTCGGAGAATTTCAACTGCATACGTAAAGCTTGAGCAAATCGACAAGCAACACAGGCAATCACTTAATCAGACCACAAATCAGCAAAGCAGCTCATCTGACTCACCAGTCACAAGAGCACGGAAGTTCTCTACAGTCTTTGGCACGGCGTTGCCAAATAGCCCGATCTCAACACGGCCGATGCTCTTGCCATCAACACCAATGTCAAAGTACACCTTGTGCGTCACCTCATCCAAGTTCTTCTTGGACTTCTTTGCTTCAAGTGGCTGGGCGAATGATCCAAAGACCACAAAGAGGATGTAAATCCCTGTAAGCAAGGCAGCTCCCCTGAGTGCCATTTTGACAATCTTCTGACCCGCAATTGCGAGAGTCCAGCAAGCACTACCAAGGCGCCAAGTTGAAAAAGACACAGCTCTCTTTGTGCTGAGGCAACAAATCAGGATCGAGCTCAGCTGCTTGAACTCGAAGTTGCAGCTTGCTAGCTACCACAGAGATTGTGCGTTCCGCCTGACCACCCTGCAGTCCACAAGCCCAATCGTATTTGGATTGGGGGGCTCCGTCCTGTGCATTTCAGAGTCCAGTGGGGAAGTTCTTTCTCTGTCCGGGCCCCCCCTCGGTTCCCCCAGCTGACAAATCTCTCCCCCCTTATCCAGACCATCTTGCAAGAACTTTAAGGCTGAGTGTGAATAAGCTCCCTGGGGAATGCAGGGACCAAACCCTAATTTTTTGAGGAGGCAAGAGGGAGTGCCTCTGGAGTCTGCAACCCATGGCGATCAGTTGACGTTTATCAGAATCAGAACTGATCAGGGGCGCCTCAAAGACTGCTGGGATTGGCAACCGCGGCCCCTCCCAAGGGCAGTCCCACAACTCAGTTTCAACTTGGAGGATAAAAGAGATCCCAGATAGACTTCATGACCATAAGCCAAAAGTGCTCAATGCAAGAGGCGAATTTCTAAGAAAAAGGTTGGCAGAGTCGATTGGGAGTTGTCCAAACAACAATTACAACTGAGTACCTCTTAAGGGTTTAGTAAAGAGATTGTTGATGAGGGTTGCCTAAAGATCAGCTTATCAAAATCAAGCCCCTCTTGTCTAGATAGAGGTTTAGCCATGGGGAAGAAGAGCTACACAGGGCCGACAGGCGCAATTGTTGGCACGGGTACTCCGCCAATTTTGCCTCCAAATCTGGTGCCGTCCGCTCCAGCGCCCCCTCAGAGCAGACGGCCATCAAATGACAGGGGTTATGTTGTCTCCAGAGTGGTTGAGGACAGAAAGTGCCGGGACGTCTTGTTCCTGATTCTCTTTGTGTTGTTCTGGATTGGTATGCTTATCGTGGCAGGGAGTGCATTCGCCAAGGGGGACCCCAGAAGGTGAGCCCCCTTCATTCTCACTATCCTGAGAAGAAGCCTGCAAACCCTCAAACGCGCATTTGGTGCCCACAGCAGAATTGGTACTTTTATTCAACCTCTCCGTGGCGCCAAATCAGCCCCATGTCAGCTCAGCAACATCTCAATTGTAACACAAGAGCTAGCTGGAGCAACAATCCTTCCAATGTGCTTGAAATTGTTGGCTGATGTCACTTCCTTTCATCACAGAAAGCAGGTCGAAACATTGTTGACTGACGTCACTGTTTTTCCATCATAGAAAGCTGAAGGTGACCACATCTTGAATCATGCACCTTCAGGAGCGCTCCCTTGAAAGTGCAACTCCGCTTTTCGATGCAGGTTGGTTTACGGGCTAGATTACAGGGGCAACCTGTGTGGAGCAAGCGACGCACAGCCGAACTTGGTTGGGTTTGACACCCGGTACTGGATGAACCCGCAGCAGATCTACGACAGCGGCAACCCCCTTGACCCGTTCAGTCTGTCAGATGCTAGAAGGTGAGCAGGCACCACTTTGGGCCCTTATTCAAAGATTTTGACTTTGTCCATACCAATTTGAATGTACTTTCCTCCACAATAAAAGGAAACGAAGTTTTCCACCATTCAATCTAAATTGACCAATTTCCTTGTTTCATATGTCTGTCATGAAGCCAGAATGCTTGCCAAGGGCTTGACCAAGGGCTGTGGCTGATCCCCACCAAGCCAGACACCCTACATAGAGCCAACTTGCCTGAATCTTCTTTTATGGCTCGACTTATTGAGACTTCAACTGACAAGAAACTGTTTCCTTTTCTTGCAGCATCTGCTTAAAAGGTTGTCCCGAAGTGTCCAACACCTCCCTGTCCTGGGTTTGCGACTACCCCGAGGGGCCTAAGCCCCCGGTTCAGGACATGGAGACTTGGGCCGCACGCAACTACGACTACTACGACCTGCTTACGCCGCAGCAGAAGAACTTCTCAGCCAACCTGCAAGGACCGTGCTATCCTGTGTTGCTCCCCTCAGACAACTGTAAGTGGGATGTGTTGTCATGTTGAAGCATCGTACTTTTCTTTTGAGGGGACTAGCGCAGTCGAAACGAGTCTGACGTAAAGGCGGGCCGGGGACGAGTTGCCGACACCTCTTTGGCAGCAGATTAAAGGAGTTGGTCTTGCTGATCACTGAAACTGCAAGCTGGGTGTAAGGCCGTACACTACGGGTGAAACCTGGTAGTGATGCAAAGGAAACGAATCATCAGGTTGCTGCCCTTGACCTGATACCTGTTTCTAGTCGATCTTCAGTTGCGAAGGTTCAGCGATCGATTCGTCATCACGAGTTTGTTGCATAAAACCGTTTACGTCGCTCTTCTGTAGTGAAGGATTGATATTTGATTCGTCAATTGTGACTTAGATAAGCTCGGTCCTTCTTCAGCAGCCTTGATTAGCCTCTCTACCCTCCCTCGCAGTCTTCTGGAGCTGTCAACCGCAGCAGAGCGGCCTCAACACCGAGGCATATGCCACATGGAGAGCAGCACCAGTAAATGGGATCCAAGTTGCGTCGTCCAACTCGCAGTACTACGCTGATGCAGTCAAGGCGCTCCTGAACCAGCCTGCAGCAATCCTGAATGTGAGACGGAAACTTTGATTTAAGGGGTTCACATCAAGAAGGATTTGAACTGAAGCTGGCGCGTATTGCACGGATGAGCCGTTTGTCGATTTTGTCATCATCCTAAGCGACCAGCTGGATGAAGCAAGCTACAACTTTTTGTAAAAGTTTCCGGCCCATTAGGAAAGGTATTCATTAGAGACTCTTCACTGCGCTTTGGTGGAGAGCTCAGATTGATTATCAATTGAAGCGCCGTATGACCATCTCCTATCATTGCCAGATTACAGTTATCGTCATGAAGCCGGGCATAGCGCCTTTTCAAGCGTCGCTACGTGGTTCTTCGTATCATCGTAAAAAGAACAAGGCTGATTTTAAAACGATCACCGATGGGCCTTTAGTTGCCTCCCTTCCACGTAACAAGATGTCAGTTCCAAAATGGAGCTCTGTCCTTTCCACAGCGTTACGTGGCGGATCTCGGCCGCGCCTGGCTGGTACTGGTGGTCTGCGCCGGCGTCGCGCCCTTTATCCTCGGCTTCGTGTTCCTCATCCTGATGCGCTTTCTGGCGGGCCTCATGACGTGGCTCTTCATCATTGGCGTGAACCTGCTACTCATCGCCGTCGTCCTTTACACCTACGCCAAAGGTAGGCGGCTGCTTTGAACCGTCAGAATGATTGACTAAGTGGAGGATATGACGTCTTTCTTCACCGCCTTGGGAAATTGTTGCTGGTTGCAGCTCTGTTCTCGACCCACGCTGAAAGTCCGGTAGTCTCCTCCAATGCTCCATCATCCGGGAGAAAGCGTGCAAAAACCAAACCTGAGGGTCGAAGGCAGGGGAACATGAGACGGTTTTTCATGATTGGAAACGACTCAGCTGCTGTTCGTCGTCATTCTTTACACCCTGAGCGCCGCTGACTAGCACCTTTCCTTTCTGCAGCTGGCGTGATAGGCTCCGACGCCGTTAACGCTCTCATCGGCGAGTCAGCCGCACGGCAGCTGGATCTGACTGGCACTACCGGCCAGGTACGTGCCTCTTTTGCGTGTCGCGAAGCACTCCACGGAAACCTCATCCATGTTCTCAGCTATCATCTCAGGAACGTTTCTGTTTCCTTTTGCAAACCTAAGGGGTGTGTGTCTGGTCTGCGTTGTCGTCCTTACGTCAGCTCAGACAAGTGAGGTGGGGTTTAACTAAGGCTTGAGGTTCATAGGTTCTTGCTTCGGTGCATCTTTGCATGGTTGTTTGTATGGTTGTCGGCAGTTGATGCTTTGAACGGCGATGTCTGAGATCTGTCTCGTGCAGGATACGGGAAGACTGCCTCGCCTTTTTACCGCTCCGAGGAGGTGGCCTCGTCGCCATGCCGAACCGCAGTCAATCCCCCAGAAGTTTCTTCAGCTTCTGTAAGCTCGACGCAGTCGAACCCCCTGAGAACGGCTTGCAAAGAAACATTTCTGAATTGTCCGACGGGCTCATTCTGGACATGCTTTTCCGTCCGCAGGAGGCCACTGACCTGAAGTACGTCGCCATCGCCCTCACGATCTTCACTGTACTCTTCATCATCTTCACGATCATCATGATCAAGCGGATACGCATCGCCATCGGCGTAGTGCAGGTAAGCAACAATTCTAAGTCGCTCATTGGCCACTCACAAGCTGTAGTTTGTTGCTCCCTTCACCCAGAGCGCGAGTCTATGGGCCTGGAATCTAGTTTCGTCCTGAAATAATGTGCGTAGCATTTCTGAGCCAACCCGTGCCACGCATACTTTGGCGGCGTGCTGCCTCCAGATCTGGCACGTCGCAGAGTTCTCTTCTCCCGTTTCTTATCTGGTGTATCTTGTTGAGTGTTCAGAACGCTTCTGAGTATCTAAATGGCGGTTTGCAGGTTGCGTGCAAGGCCATCGGCCATATCCCTTCGCTGGTCTTCTTCCCGATCTTTCCGGTCATCGCTGTGGCGGCCCTCGGCGTCTACTGGGTGGCAGTCACCATGTATCCTCAATCGCTCGAGTTTCGATACTTCGATCTCCTTGTGCATTGCTTCTTCATATCCTCCGACATACACTGCTTGCCGAAGTAGTTCCTTACTGCGAGGGGCGGTATCCAACTCAGAAATGTCATTGCAGACGTGCATGGAAGATAAGACGAAGTGAACCATCCGTCGGTGACCGATCCTCGGACCGATCTCAAGAAAAGAGTAATGAGAGAGTAACAAGGCCACCGCACTGTGATCGATAGGGTTAATTGTGGTGTTTAGGGTGGGTACGGGCACGGAGCAGGCAAAACTCCGTTTAAGGTGTTCACTCTTTAGTCGAGCTTACCATGCCCTTGGCTTGTTATCATCTTTCTTGATGGTGAAGAGTTTGGCCCTTCGTCGCCCTCTTTACCCGCACTTTCCTTGACCCCCGCCCCAGCTACCTCTTTAGCGCGGGCACCGTGGAGGTGACGCAGGGCTGCGAGTTTCTTGGGTTTTCATCTCCTTTCTAAATCGCGATTTTCGGCCCTTGGTCGGCCTGTTTGCTCGCACTTGTCCTTGACCCCCCCCCCCGCACCAGCTACCTCTTCAGCGCGGGGACCATAGAGCCGACCCAGGGCTGCGACATCGCCGGGTGCTGCCAGTACTCCGTGTTCAACTCCACCTTCCAGTGCGGCGTGGAGAACTGCTGCGGGTACGACATCCAGTACAACACCAGCATGAAGTGGGTCCTGCTGTACCACCTGTTCGGGCTGCTCTGGACGTCGCACTTCGTCGTGGGCGTCTCGCTGTGCATCATCGCGGGGGGGGTCTCGTCCTACTACTGGTCGCGGGGGGACATCTCGGTGCGTGCGCTTCGTTCCCTGCTTCCATGGAGTCTGTCGATGTCCGACCGAATGAAGCTTTCGACCGGTCCCTGCGTCCGCAGAGTCATTGGGTTGCACGGAAGAAGCTCCGAAATATCCCTACTTCTCCAGAGGCAAAAGCTAAACGGCTCCGGAGAGATATTTCGCAATCATCGCAATTTTCCGACCCCCGAAGAGAATGCTCAATGCCAGGTTGAAGAGAAGCCAACTCGCGTGAGGCTCGCGTGCCGACTGAGTGGAAATCTTGCAACTGAAGAACACTATTCTCCTGTGTACGAATTCGTTTCGGTCGGTCCTGCTGGTGCCTCCTCTTCGCCTGGTGTCACGCACGTTCTGACCTGGGCAGCGTGGCACTGAAGTGCAGATGAAGATGTCGAACGCATTGTCCTCTTCCACCCCAGTCGTATCCGCTTGCTCTCTTCGACTTCATGTACCGCATGTAGCGGTATGACCAGGGCAGTGTGGAATTTGACTCGGTCCTAGTTGCTCTCTACTCAACCCTAAACCCTTTTCTGCCTTCTTCCGTTCCAGTCGGTTCCGCTGGTGCCCCCCTTTAGCTCCATGCACCGCACGTTTCGGTACTGTTGGGGCAGCGGGGTTTTGCGCTCGATCCTGGTAACAACTCCAAAACCTGACTCACATGTCCCCTCGTTCCGCTCCAGTCGGTTCCGCTGGTGCCCCTCTTCGGCTCCGTGTACCGGACCTTCCGGTACCACCTGGGCAGCGTGGCTTTCGGCTCGCTCCTAGTTGCGACGGTGGAGCTGGTGCGGTTCATCGCGGCGTATTTGCAGCGCAAGCTCAAGGAGGCGGGCCAGGGCAGCTGGACCAAGTGGCTCTGCTGCTGCGTGCAGTGCTGGCTGGGCTGCCTCGAGTGGATCGTCAACTTCATCAACAGGAACGCGTATATCATGGTGAGGCAAAGCGATTTGTTTTCTGGTATGGCTGATATCTTAGGTCTTTTTTGTCTGCAAGCACTGATGGGTTCTTTGAGAAGTCTGATGAGGAAGACCCGGTCATTATGCGTCGATTGACGATAGCGCGGCGGAAAAGGGAACGCGCATGTTATGGTGAGACAAGGGAACACGTTGACACCTCCTTCACGCGGGGCTGCGGATCTTAGTTTTGTGATCTTTATAGAATCCGCTTGGTGTAATATTTCTGCGATTGATGGGAAGAGGAGGCGCCTCCTGTGTATTTTACTGCGCAAGCAGAGTCTGACCACGTCTGCTGTCTTGACTGCTCGTCCTTTCTTCCGCCAAAGCAGCCGCTTGTCGTGCCTAGCTTTTTCCCACTCACATCCAATTCTTGGTCGGCTTTGCCCGCTCGACTGCTCTTACGTCTTGATACATCTCTGTAAGACTTCGGTATTCACTCAGTTCCCACCTTCCCCGCAGATCGCCATCAAGGGCAAGGGCTTCTGCTCGTCCGCCCAGACCGCGGCCAAGCTGCTCTTCGGCAACGTGCTGCGCGTCGCAGCCGTGAACGTCATCGGCGACTTCGTGCTCTTCCTGGGCAAGATGGCCGTCAGCCTCGCGTGCGCCGTCTTCGCTTTCCTCATGCTCGACGGGGAGCGCTACAAGACGGGGCAGGACAAGATCTCCAGCCCGCTCGCGCCCGTCCTTGTGAGCTTTCGCGACTGCTTTGCTCGCTTGATTATGCACGGCCGCGCGTGGGGTTTTGGGCAGATGTTCCACCCTGGGGGATCCGGTCTGCGGAGGCGAATAGATACTAGAAGCTGGGCACTGATTCCTGGATCTCGACGCTTCCTAGACTAGGTTTGCAGTGTTCTACAAGCGCAGTCTGTTTGGGAGGCTGTGGCCATCCTGCTGTCTGTGCACTGTCAGTAACGCAAGAGTGCTTCGGAGGTCAACCGCTTGCGGGACTGAAGTTGATCGCCGTCAAGGGGCTCAACCGGTCTGTGTGGCGATTCAAGGGAAGGATCTATCTGGAACCAAAAGATTCTAGAGATCACCAGAAGCCCGCGTCGTTCGTGTGTTCTACGTTGACGTCGGCGATTTTGAGGGACACTCGTTCTTCGCACCTGTTTTCCGATTGGCTTCTCGTAAGCAGTCGGTGGATGGGTCATCAATTGTGACCACGACTTGTGTAGAGTTCTGTTCACTTGCCATGAAGTGCTGTCGCAGTAGTCACTTGGTTCTCCTCCGCTCTAGACTTTAACTCTCTCCTCATCTGCATGCAGTTTGTGTGGGGCGTGGCTTTCATTATCGCGTCCATATTCTTTGGTGTCGTTGAGATGGCGGTGGACACAGTGCTTCTAGCGTTCTGTGAGGATTGTGAGGAAAATGGAGGCGTGCCGCGCTATGCGCCGCCGCTGCTGATGGACGCTTTGTCCCGGCATGCAAAGGCTCTAGATGAGGAGGATGCTCAAAGAAAAGCGCAACTCGAAGTTGAGTTGGCGAAGTTGAACAGGCCTCGGGCTTAAGGTTATGCGTGTGTTGAGGTTGAGGCCCACTCCGTTATTGATCGGAGCTAGATAATCACGGTGGCAGGAACTCAGGTATATAGAACCGCTTAAACATTGAGCTTGTAGTACGTTGTTTCCTCGTTCGATATTGCCACCATGCAATCATAGATTTAAGGTGACTTATGAGAACCAGGACCTGGATCCAACGGCAATGATGTTGCTGATAATGCCGAGACAAATTGAGTATTAGTTTGATTAGAAATGTGTGGCATGCAATGATCCACAGATCAACTGATACTCATCTGGCATGATCGGGCACCTGAAGTGATGTTGCACGGCCAGTCTGCAATCCATCAGGTGCGAAATTCAAGAAAATCGACGATATGCGATGCCGGCCACCTTTATGGGAACTATCGAACGCTTCGTCGAAAACAGCATATATCGATCTTGGGTGCAAGGTTTTAAGGGGCCCGAGATAAGCCCTAAATTTGATCACTGGCACCATGCACGCCCATGTGCCATTGAGATCATTGATGAGTCCGGTCATAAACGACGGTGCATGCAATGTCCGGCCTTGACATGCACCATCATGATAAAACCGATAAAACATCAACTCTCTTTAGGCCGATTGTACACCAACCCTCAATATATGGTCCCTGCGTGGTTAAAGTGTTGCCAATGGCAAAAGCTTGCAGGCCACAAAGGACCATGTAGTAATCAAAGGTGACGATGCAACTTAATTTGGCCCGTGCAACACAAACAGAAAGGGAAACCCTGATCGCGAGCGGTGTGTAAGCGCGTTCTTGAAGCAGTACGTCCGTCGATCGCATCCGTCAACAACTACGTTGACGGCTGAGATTGCGTTTCATGGCATGTACAGTCCGGTCTGAAGCGCGCACAGGCTCGCGCGGAGCCAGTAAGATATTTCCAGATTCCGAATCTTCAACTTCAAGTTCAATTAAAGAGGGCGTCGAGGGACCGGTCCCCCCTGACGTCATTAAAGCGACATGGAAGCATGAGCTTCTGCTACTCCGTCGCCAGAAATTGGTATCAGCGGTGTTTTCTCCGAGCAAATTGCTCTGCTTGGATTCACCGGTGCTGATGTCACGTAGACGCCCTCTTTTAAGGAAGATTCAAGCTCAGCTACAATGCCCGCTCCTTCTAGTTGTTGCCGCCCTGGCTGATCTATTGCGCGGCAATTATGGCACATTCTTGCTTCGCTCAGTTGCTGCTGACTCCTGAGCCTGTAGATCTATCTTCTGCTCAATCCAGAGAGACGCCATGGCTTCCACCGCCTACCTTCAGAACGCCTTGGGCCACGCAGCTTTCGCTGCAACAAATGTGAGGCAGGCGGGCGGGGTGTCCTCGTCGCCGAGAACATGTGCAGTGCCGCGTGGCAGCATGCATGCACCCGCAGCAGCCGCCTCCCTGCGGTCCTTCGAGGGCATGCGCGCCGGGGCGCCAACTTCCAAGATGTGCAATGAAGCGTCGACCTCGTTCTTTGAGCAGACCATCTCGCAGCAGCGATTGGGAAGGAGGACTGCTGCTGCGGCCAGCAGAAAGGGGCAGGTGGTCGCCCTTGTCACGTACAAGGTCGCTGTGCTCGGAGCCGCCGGCGGGATCGGGCAGCCGCTGTCCCTTCTCGTCAAGATGAGCCCCCTCGTCTCAGATCTGCACCTATACGATATTGCAAATGTGAAGGGGGTGGCCGCTGACCTCAGCCACTGCAACACCCCTGCCAAGGTCGAGGCTTTCACGGGGAAAGACGAGCTTCCAGCTGCCTTGAAGGATGTAGATCTCGTCATCATTCCCGCAGGCATCCCCCGGAAACCAGGCATGTCTCGGGATGACCTCTTCAACATCAATGCGGGGATCGTAAGAGATCTGGTCGATGCAGTCGCACAGCACGCGCCCAAGGCCCTCATCCACATCATCAGCAACCCCGTCAACTCCACTGTTCCCATCGCTGCCGAGGTCCTGAAGAAGCGGGGGGTTTTTGACCCTGCAAGGCTCTTTGGCGTGACCACTCTGGATGTGGTTAGGGCAAACACTTTTGTGGCGCAGCAGCAAAAGCAGAGGTTGATCGATGTCGATGTCCCTGTGATCGGTGGTCATGCTGGGATTACGATCTTGCCGCTGTTGTCAAAAGTGAAGCCAAAGACGTTCTTCGAGTCAGAGGAGATTATTGACAAGCTGACAACGAGGATCCAGAATGCTGGAACTGAGGTGGTCGAGGTGAGCTTGCAGTGACCTTCATTGTTCTGTCTTCTAATGTGTTTTGCCACCATGAATGCATACACTATAGGTTCCAGTTCTGCTGGTTTTCCTTGTCACCACAAGTGGAATCGAATGTAGGTTCGCACTCGATAACAGGGAGTGTGCGAGGCTCGAAGTAGGAATCGATGGCAATTATAAAGGAAGCAGTGAAGAGGGAATCTGCACTTGCTTTTATTCAAGGATCATGCAATTTTTCTGAGTGCCGGCAAACCTAGTTTTTCCAACAAAGTGTTACTTGCTGCGCATGGTGTTGTTTGTGCTGATTGCAGGTTAAATTGCCGGTGGTGCTGATGTTTAAGGATTACCTTGGGAGTGCACCCAATTGTTGTTCAAAATGGTGGTAGAACAAGATTGTCGTTGGTGTTGACAGGATCAGTTCGGGAGCACATTTGCTAACTCTCGAGAAGGGTGGTAGAGCGAGGTTGTCTTGACATGTCCAATCTCCACATGTGCAGGCCAAGGCCGGAGCAGGATCAGCCACCCTTTCAATGGTGAGTGGGCAAAACCCAGATTGCATTGGCCACACTGCTGACCCTGATCTCCTGCCTTCTGAACGAGCAGGGCTCTCTTTCTCAAAAGGAGAGGCTCTTGATCTGCAAGACGAGGTAATCTGGGACCCTCAGTGGCATCAATCTGAATGTTTATCAACATAAACTCCGCTTCTGATTAGAAGTTTTGGCTGGCGGATAGGCATATACGGCTCTCAGCATAGCTTAGAAGCTTTCGTTGAATTGCACACCTGTTCCATTCCTCATGCATTGATGCATCATTGTTGGCAAACCTCTCTGCAGGCGTATGCTGCTGCTCGGTTTGCTGAATCAAGCCTGAGGGCTCTGGATGGCGACCCGGACGTGTATGAGTGCACTTACATTGCCTCAAACGTAAGCTGCTGCAACTCTCCAAATCCAACTTAGAATATCAGTTGGAGTCTGATGAAGATGAAACATTGGAATGACGACTTGGGCGGTTTTAGAATGGTTGTGATTGGAAAGATGGTATCTTTGACCCTTCCTAGCATCTTGGCGTGGATTTGATTCGCGACTTCAGCAATCATTCTACAGTTTAAAGATCATTTCGATACCACGTGCTCAACCAAGTAGAGCCAGTCTACGCGAAGGCAGTAGTAGCAGTAGCAGGCAGCACACTTGATCTGTCCAATGTTTGATTGCCGCTAAGATGTGTATTCTTTCAGTCAGGCATAGCATAGAGCGTCGGTTTCAACATGAGGCGAAACACAGTCTTCCGCAGTTCTCAGACGTCTCCTCTTTGTGCTCTGTGGTCCCTCTCCAACACAGATCCCGAAACAAGCCAGGCGACTAAGTCCCCTGCAAGTCTCCTCGCTAATTGCAATTATCGTTTTGCAGCTGATTCCGGACCTGCCCTTCTTTGCCTCTCGCGTCAAGTTGGGACGGATGGGAGTGGAGGCTGTCCTGCCCCTGGAGGGTCTTTCAGAGTATGAGCAGAGGGCACTCGAAGCCCTGAAGCCGGAGCTCAAGAACAGCATCGAGAAGGGCATTGAATTTGCAAAAGAGAAGGCCGCTGCGTCAGCATAAACTTGCCGCTCAGCTTGCGATCCTTGATAGATAGCGGTGACTGTAAATGGTTAGCAATGGGAGTTCAGATGACTCACTCAAAAAGATGGCTACCATGTCGTACAGGACACAAACTTGGAATGCTAACAATCTTATGCCGTGATCATCCAAGGGTATAGAGGTGAGCTTATAAACGGTCGACTCGTCTTGCTATAGACAGGATTAAAATAAGCGCCTAATGCTTGGTGCTGGTTGCTTGAAGAATCTCTGCAGCAACATCTTTGCTGTACAGTGGCTGCCGCGAACCGGTTCTGTGTGTAGCACGTGACTAGGTAGCTGGCACATCATTGCTTGCCTCAAGACGTAATGTTTCGGACCTGTGTTCCTCCAATTGAATCTGCATATATGTTGGTTGAGCAAGATGATATGTTTAAACCGACCCGCATGCAGTGCAAGCCTGGCGGGTATACGATGATATGGCCGGCTGGCTGCATCAGACAAAACGCGCGCATGTGCACGTACTTTGCATGACACTCGGAGCCGCTGAGCCCTGGCGATGAATCCGTGCACACAATAAGTTCATTATATTACACATACACGGATCATTATCTGCATGGCGACACTCATGCAAAGATCGTAATTGAGTCGATCCTTGGGGCAGCTAGGTGCAGCAGGCCAATTTGATGGTGAGTTCCCTATAGCTTACCTATAATTATCCCTACTATAATAAAGTTCGAAGCATTAATAAAGGCTCGGGTACGAAGCATCCGATATATAATTTGATTGAGTTGAATCACTTGTGCGCGCTGCTGAAGAGTTAGCAAAACGTTCAATGCAATACTCCATCTTTGAATATCATTACGTGCCAGCAAATCATCGATAGTGGTTTGAATAGACGCGCACAAGTTTCAAGGGTCTTATAAATACAAGTCTCAGATCTCTGTTCTCAAATCTGTATGAGTCCGCAAGAAACTGTCATGTTCGACGGTTATTTGGAAAAATATCGTCATTTTGGGCGCTGACCTAAGGAGCATTCTCATGATCCGGAAGGACCTGATCGACGCCAACGAAAGGTTCGACAAGCATGTAAAGTACTTTGGAACCGTATTGTTCGCTTATAACCTTTTTAAGGCTTCACTAACTTCAATCACAGCCCATGATGCGGGTTACCAGTCAATCACTAATAGGTACACTGAATGCCTGCAATGTTTCCCTCTAACATAAGAGACGCACCTTGGCACCAATCCACTATTCGAGCAACTCGACATGTCCGGAAACTTTCTGAAAACCCCTCAATGAGGGTTCCACTCCACCCTTCGTCACCTTGACCTAATTTACTTCTTCAGGGCAGAGGCGTCGAACCCTGGCATATCGAACGAGGATGCAAACTTCTCGACGTCTGCGCGCAGGGTCTCAATGTCCTTGTTGCCTTCCAGGCCCTTGTTGAAATCCTTGAGCAGCTTGCCGTGTTCCTTCTGGACCGCAAGCGTGATGTTGACGGCGCGCTCCAAGAACTCCGCGACCTGGGCGAAGTCCGCGTCCTTGAGGCCACGTGACGTCATGGCAGGAGTCCCTGGACAAGGAAGATGGACATACAATACATAAAAAGTCGTTTCCCTCAGGCGAAGGTGGATATCGTCAAAATACTTCCCTGGAGCTAAAAAGTGTGCAGACGGTATCCTCTGATACAACTCAAGGACCGGATGCTAGATCTACGAGCATGATGTCAAACTTCAACTGCCCAAGGCTTCTCCGCACATCAGAGAAGACCAGACCAGAAGGCAGTCCTTGCAAGTTCGAAATGCGGATACAGCAAAAGGAGGACATTTCTAAATCTGAGCCTGCATACTGAGAGCCATTTGTAGCTTAGGTTCACGATTCAAGTCGGATGCAGACAGAAGGAAGAACAATCACTTTGGTGCATTCGTTTGCAAGCAATGACATAGAAGCTTTCTTGAACACACGTAGGCAGCAGGGGAGCACTTACCGATTCGGACGCCCCCTGGGGAGAGAGCGCTGCTGTCTCCAAAGACGGCGTTCTTGTTCAGCGTGATGTGCGCCAGCTCGCACACCTTCTCCACCTTGTTACCTGCACCAAAAAGAGCAAAGGTAAGGCACCCAAAAACGGCACAGGCTAGCCAGTAGATGGACGACCCTACCTTTCCCGACTCTGAGCACTAGAAGATTACATCTTGTTTCCGCTAATCCAGATTCAGAACTTTTGGCAAGCACCAACGAGTCTTCAGGAAAAATGCCGTCTCCAAGCTTCTCACTGCTGGACAGAAAGACCAAACTGATGTCTGCATCATGTCAGTGACCACATTGACCAGAATTCGAACAGCATCGAGGCTGACCCTTCAAAGAGTCTAAGCGAGACGATGCCCTATATTACTTCAGCAAGCGGCGACCATCTCAAAGTCTGTTGGTCACCATCAATGCAGGGAGCAATGACACAAGTTATGCAAACCCGGGTTTTTGTGACTCAATCAATCAGAGAGTTTGAACCGTACCGGTCAACCCCAGGGGGCGCAGGTCCCACAGCACCAGGTGGTTCTCGGTGCCCCCCGTAACGAGGCTGTAGCCCTTGCCAGTGAGAGCGGTGGCCAGGGCAACCGCGTTCGACTTGACTTGCTTGATGTACTCCTTGAAGGCGGGGGTCTGCGCGGCCTTGAGTGCGACCGCCAGAGCAGCAATCTGCAGGGGGTTGGAAGAGGTCTCCTTTGGGCTCCATGACAGACCATGTGAGCACAATCAAGGACAAATGAAAGGATTGGTGATCCTTCAGAATTTGCATCTGAAGATTGCGCGCATCATGCATTAGGGTGAAGCTGATACAAAAGTGTGGCCACGGACCAATCATAAACAGATTGCTGACATCGCGCTGACATGGGGATCATCACGCCAGAATGAATTTACTCAACAATACATTAGTGATTCGACATATGCAAGATCAGATCCGAGACATAATTGAGGGGCAGATTCCGTAAAGAGGTTCCACCAATAGCCTGGTGGTGAAACAAAAGGACAGGCGGTCACAGCATACTATACCAAGCTTTTCTCTAGGAGCACATCTATCTCAGTTCTGCCGGTCAGGAAAGAAGCACTCTCAAGCAAGAAAACTTGTGCGAAACAACCGCAGCCAACACAGACGCCCAGCAACAAACTTACCTGGTGGTTGTGGGGGCCACCCTGCAGGCTGGGGAACACCGCAAAGTTGATGCGGTCTTCAAAGTCATACACTGCGCCCTCGGCCTGGCCCTTCTTGGGGGGCATAGGGCCCTTCCGGAAGAAGATCATGCCGCTGCGGGGGCCACGCAGGCTCTTGTGCGTGGTGGTAGTGACGATCTCGCAGTACTCGAAGGGGCTGGCCGCTTCCTGTAGGACAATTCGCAGGCTTGTTTGCACACAGACCGCTTTGCCTCTGCCATAACATAGGTAGGCTGTGTGAGAAATGCTGCTCTGAGCATTGGTGATACAATTCAACAGTGATCACCAAGCGAAACCAACAGCTCTTCTTGAGAGAGATCTGTACCTGATCATCAAGCAAAAACGACAGCTCTTCTTGAGAGATTTGACAAGTGCTCTCATGTGCGTGCTTTATCGCATCAAGTGCTGCTTGATATTGCTCGCTGATTGAAGTATGACCTAATGCTGGAGTATTGCGTGATCAGAAGTGGTGGCCAAGGAATGTTGAGTGATATGACCACCACCCCTGATCATATTTGACGACGCAGCCTTCAAACTTCAGCATGTAAGAAGCAGGTGACCACTTTCCGAGGATCTCAGACCAGAACCTGACAAGATTCTGCATCTCCTTGCATCAGCAAGAAACGCCAAACAAACCTCTCACCTTGGTAGCCACCAGGCCGCTGATGTGCGCCATGTCACAGAGCAGCATCGCGCCGCACTTGTCAGCAATCGCCCTGAACTTTGCGTAGTCCCAGTCCCGGGGATATGCACTCCCGCCGCAAATGATGAGCTTCGGCCGGAAGTCCATCGCCTTCTCCTCCAGCTTCTCAAAGTCGATGTACCCCGTCTGGGAGTTCACCTTATACGGCAGGGACTCAAAGTAGATCGAAGTGGCTGAGATCTTCCTCCCCCCTGAGGTGTAGTATCCGTGCGTGAGATGGCCCCCCGAAGGCAGATCAAGCCCCATGATGCGGTCATGGGGGTTCAGGATTGCAGTGTAAGCCGCAAAATTCGCAGGGCTGCCAGAGTAGGGTTGCACGTTGACCCCCCACTTCTCAGGGTCTAGGGAGTAGGCCTCAAGGGCCCTGTTTTGGCACAGGACTTCCACCTGATCCACAATCTCATTGCCACCGTAGTACCGCGCGCCTGGCAGACCTTCTGAGTACTTGTTTGTGAGGCAGCTCCCAAGCGCCTCCATCACGGCCTGCGACGTGAAATTCTCGGACGCGATGAGCTCGATGCCCTTCCATTGGCGCGCCTTTTCCAGCTCAATCAGGTTGTAAACCTCGGGGTCAATCTCCTTCAAGGACGTCAGGCCCCATGACTTGACGTTGTCCATGGCGGATCTCTGGCAGCAACAATGGCGGTCCTGAAATGCAGATTCAAAGAGAACGGACCCAGCAAGAATGTTGCTTGCCTATCCAAAAAGATCACAGAATTGCAAAATTCTTCCAACACAATCCAAGGCAATTATGCACGCGAGAGACGATGGACTCTCCACTGTTCGACAGTTGCCACTGTCGATGAGCCAATCGGAGCCGTCCATGCTAGCATGACTGAAGCATCGAACGTCATACAGTGCATTACGTGTTGTGGTCTTTCTATTCAATTACGACAGAGGTACTGGTAGCCTAGTGGCCTAACTACTGGGCTTGTACCGTTTCGATAACAGGGCCCTACCGCTGCATTGCAGATGATTGCTGCTACCTACTGGTAAGACAGTAGCATCATAGGTACTGGCCCTGATGTCATTCAAATGAGCTTGCACATCAGTGAATGGCGGCTGCACCAGCACTCCGAGATCATCATCTTTTGTAGCAGCATGACAGCATGAGCAGGGCAGCCATACCTAGGCTCGCAGCCTTGACTTAGGGAAAGCTTGTTTGTGTCGTTGCTATCGTAAACCTGGCCATCTGCATCTACAACCGTGCAGCCCACCGGCCAGCCGTATTCAATGCAGGGACTGTGTATGACATTCACTGAAATGAACTCGAGAGTCATGACATACGGCACAAATGCCATACCATCATACCATGATTCCCTTGTTGACGCACTTGAAACTTAGATTTAGGCAAGCATATCAGCATCTGATGATTGCCGGTTTCGAATCACCAACGTAGGCCCGTCTAGCTACATGCACCTCATCGAATCGAATCAGATCTAGACGGTGTGAACGCACTGAATGAGGGACGGACAGCAGCTCGTCGAGTGCTTCAAAGAGTTTGACCAATGATAGGAACAGGTTGTCAAAAAGATGTCAGTAACGGTCAGGTAGTGACAGCTGAATTCAATCCACCTTATCGGCTTTCGTGTACTCCATAAGAATGTGAGGCGATCGATATATCTTTATCAACGTCCAAAACAATCCTTCTTCCAACTCCAACTCGCCCTCAGCCCGAGCTGCATATATATCTTCGCAGATCGCAACCAACCTGCACGGAAGCATGGCCGCTTCTTTCATCAGAAATGAAAGGATACTCGGCCATGATTCTGTTTAGATGGAAACAGCCCTCGCATCTGGCCATGATTCTACTGGCATGGAAACGGCCCTCGCATTAAGAGAAGCTCAAGTCGCATCCAGTGGTAATCGAAGGAGGATTTACGAGCAGGGCGGCTTGCCAACGTCTTCGCATTACCAACTTCACACATGCCCAGATTGCTTCAGACACCTTCGTAGACAGCGCATATTCGAAACTTTAAGTGGGCGGCGAAGGTCGACCCACCTGTCACATGACGGGAAGTTTTCGTACGGGATCCTCATCCTCAAGTCGGACGACTGCAGCCGGACTAACCGATGAACGCCCAACACAAACGTAATGTACAAGCCTGCCAGGCCGAACTTGGACAGCGTGGTGCCAATGAAGCCGCCTGCAAAACCAACGGTTAACTTTTGAGGTTGATCACTATATCCCTAGAGTCCCGCGGCTTTGAAAGAAGCAGGCTACGGAGGAAAGCTAACTGGGTGAGAACTTCAAGAATTACACTCGCCATCCCTGGGAAGCAAAATTTGTTCCAACGACAGTCATTGCTCACAAGAATGGTGGAACGCGACCAAACAAACCATGCTCACTCCAGTTAGCAAGGGTATTGAGCTGGTCTGTTTCGTACCGGGCACTTCTTCCGAGACAGCGACGGCCATCGGGCCCCCCTCGTGGCGGCAGTCGTCCCGGTCGGTGTCGTCCTCCGCCGGAAAGCGCTCGAAGGACCACCAGGGAGTGGGGCCGCCGTGGAACGTCAGGTTGCCGCCCACAAACACATCCTGCGACAGCAACTCTTCTGTTCAGTCTTAGTATCCCTTTTTTCGAGTTCAATACCTACCCCTTCCGGAGATGGGATGCTTGGTAAGCGTTCGTTGACGGTAATGCAAAGAGGGGCGCGCAAAAATATGTCCTGCGGCAACAGGAATGTCGGCTGGTGTCAATCTCGGCAAAGATTTGCGTATCGACGCCTGTTTGTATAGAGTCGCATGACGAGCGCCGATGCATCAGATTGGTGCCCGCGATCTGTCAGCCCTGCGGCGAGAGAGTTGGCTCGTTCCCAAGTCTGAATGATCTAAAGACTGATCAGTAATCTTCGAGTACGGAGACGATACGCCAGTCCTTTCCTGATGCTAGATGGTGGGACCCTAAAAAATCACCGTCAAAAACTGTAATTGTTGCAATTTGTGATGCGTCCGTGTAATACATGACCGACTTCGAAATTTACTGATCACCGGAGGAGCAGACACTGGTTCTGATAGGCGTGATGTCAGCACAATCATGCAGACGCGAGCACGCCGGCATCCTCAAACGAGTACGACGTCAGCACCTGCGTGCCCTCGAGCGCGCGCGGCGGGCCGAGCCCGGGGAGCCGGAAGTACTTCGGGTACAGGTGCGGAAATCCGGCGGCATCCGCCGTTCCGTTGAGCACGCGGGAGAGCATGTCGGCGACCTCTTGCGGGCTCTCCCGGGAGTAGTCCGTTCCGTTCGCCACGACTGCGTTTTCCAGCGGACGCGCGCGGGTGAATGTCCAAACGGTGCGCAGCTGGGCGGGCTGCGCGAGAATCTTGACCAGGCTGCGCTGTGTCGGAGGGGGCACCTGAGCGTGGATACGGGGAGGGGGTTTGGTGAGTTCAGAGCGTACGGCTGGGAGTGTCTGCCACGCTTGCGTATGACTTGGCGGACGAGTGAGAGTAAGATGGCACCGTTGAAAGCCACATGCTGTTCCCTAAGCTCTATATTCTCGGTCCCTAAACCTCGGCCGGCAACTCTGAGGCACAATCCCGCCCTCGGTGGTTTTTCCCAGATGAACTCCCCTAAGAACCAAATGAACTCCCTTAAACCAAACAACGACTTGGAACTCAAGGTCTTCAATTGAGCACCCGTTGCCGAAAGCTGCAAGAGCTCAAGAGCCCAGGACCGAAAAGCGGAAACCGTGATTTCTCGAAAGGAAAGTCGAACTCCAAGACTGTATAACGTGTTACCATAATCATGGATCCAGGATTCATATGCTCAGATCTAGAACCCACGAGTCGCTCACTACTCCACTCTAACGCACAGCCTAAACCTCAATAGCCAGAATTCATACGCGCGGTTTGCAAACAAGAATTTTGCCAACTTTCCAAAGCTGAAACAGATCTCAAATTTGAAAGTTTGATATTCCAGGGTTTGAGCCCGAACCCTTTCTCACCTGCCAGATGGCATCCGCGTCCGAGAAGCAGCACACGAGCTGAATTTCGTGCACATCAAACGGCTGCAAAAACGCGTCCTCCGCGGGCTTGTAGAACTCGATGCGCCGGCGCGCCCCGGCCTCATACACGGGGAACGTGCCCTCCTGGGTGTCTAGATACACGGCCATACGGACGTCCTGAATGGGGTTGTAGTAGTTGGTCGGATTGCCCGTGCTGAATAGCACCCTGCGACCGGATGGAAAGCATTCTGAGAAGATCGTGAAGGATTTCGGTTTCGTTGCTGATACAGACTTTTGCCATTGGCAGGGGGAAGCGGTACTTGCTTAGTTTCAAATTGATGCTGTAACCTTAAGGCCCGAGAAGATTGTAAGCCGAGAAAACCAGCTCACAACGGAAGGCTGCAGGCGACTTTAGCTTTTTCGTCGATTGAAAAAGACCGGACTTTTTCGATGCGGCATTAATAGCAGCACAGGGATGCATCGACAAATCTACGTCGCTCTGTCGCGCGTACCGTAAAACTGCGCCGTACAGGAGGAGTCTAGTACGTGAATTTTCCGGACAGGAAGGACAAGAATAGAATCGAGTGCAGCAGAAAGCCCTGTGCTGCAGGTGCCAACTCCTTCTATCAAAGACCAACGATCAAGTGCTGACGAAACGGATCTGGTTCAAGGAACAGGAACGCATGAAATAGATGTCGGGCTGGTTGGATCCCGCGGACCTGGTGATTTGCAAGCACATGGGACTTCAGGAAGTCGATCTCTGGAAAGGTAGCACTAAGCGAAGATGAGAATCAGTGATAGGAGTCCGATCGTCAGAAAGGTAGCAGTAAGCTAAAACAACACTTCAGGTATTCGAAGTGGAACGGATAGGGTCACTTTGAGAGGGAGGGTGGGTAGGCCAGCAGGGCGGGTGAGTCTCCGCATTTGCCATGCTGGTGCTTGTCGGGGCTGATGAATTCCTGGCCTACCAGTATCTTTCATGAAAATCGTCTTCAGTGAGGGTGCGGGAACCGCTCACATGGGCGCCCAAATGGTGGTGCACAGCGCGAGGAACACCACAAACCCCGACCAGAACTTGTAGGCGAACTCTTGACGGCTGCCCAGCTTGTGCCGCTCCCGGTTCAATTTCAGGTCGCACGTGACCGTGTACAAGCTCGCGTAGATGTCCTCCATTTTGAGCCAGTCGTAGAGCATCAGCGCAGTGTTGGCGCACGACCAGTCGAGGACCGTCCGCAGCTCGTAGACGAACGGCAGCACCCTGGCGAGTAACAGAGGCTGTTTACGGTTAGGGGAGGTTATTATTTGGCTGGTTTGACATAAGGGAGGTTGCTTTCTGGCTGGTTAGCTTTATAGGAGGTACTCGTTGGCTGGTTAGGTTAATGAGAGGTGTGTCATTGGGTGGTCGAATTCATGAGAGGTTGCTTGTTAGATGGTTGGATCTGTGGGAAGTTGGTCAACACAACAAGATACGGACAAACTTGGAGAGTGAAGTCGCATGCCGTAACTTTATCGTAGTAGTGGATTTTCAAAACAACAGTTCGTTCCTCTGCATTTGATTAGCGTTGAAGTGTCGGTGTACGCATGCAGGCAACTATTGTTGGAACCCTGCTGCTACCTGTTTCTCACCCATGCCCTATTTCTGCATATTGCCGCTTCTATGGCAGCTTGAACTCTGATCCTTTTACTACAACCGAACCCGACTCCTATTCTCGCAAGTAGTACTTACCGGTAGATGGTAAACCCGACCGAGTGCAGATAGTCCACCCGCCGCATGAGGAACTGCCCATGCGCGGAGTCCCGCGGCGGGCCGTACTTGATCTGGGTCGCCGTGAGGCCGAGAGAAAGTGCGCGCAACAGAAAGAAGAGCTGGAACGTCATACGCCCGTCGACGAGTCGCGGGTTCCAGAAGAGACGGACGGTGTAGCCGGTGAAGAGGAGGAGCGACGCGAAGTAGTAGACCAGCTTGGCGCGCGCAAAGGAGCACAGGTACAGGATGCGGTCGATGGCCATCAGGCTGAAGAGCGTCTGAGCAAAAGAGCGACTATAGACTCTTACCCAGAGGCACGGAGAAGCGACTCGAGTTGGTAAAAGATACAACGTTTGAGTAGAATCCAATGGGGAGCCGAAATCAGAAATGTATAGTGCATGAACCAGTTCGGTGTCCAGGAGTGCTCCAGGAGGGATTATGAGTCCAGAGGCTCCGTCTCTTTCCTCTCAGCTTCTACTCGCAGCATTAGCTAGCACGTCCATTTGGCTGACTAACCCTTCCTCAAAAAGTTCCGCACTGTCTTTCCTAGTGCAAGCCGTGTCACCTTGAAGCAGCAAACGACCAAGCACTGTCAGACAAATAGAAAACCGACGATTTGACACTCTCAGAAACAAGTGCACTCACCAGAAGCACGTAGACGAACTCCTTGGGGAACTGATCCTGCTCGTAAGCCGCCGCAAAGATCGACTTGTGCGCGCCCACCGCCGACTGGTAGAACAGCGCCACGAAGAAGAAACTCAGCATATCCGCGAAGAAAACATATGCGTATAGGTCAACCTCTCGCCGCCCCCCCGCCACCACCGACTCGATCGGGTACGGAAAGCCGCACACCTGCTCGCGCTTCTCCTCGCGCATTCTCTGCACCTCCGCTGCCACGTCAGCGGCGGGCGTCAGCGTCTCCTTGCTGCCGGGCTTGCGAGGCGCTGCCACGTGGAGGACTTCGAGAACAGCCACGGCTTCGTTTGGGCGGTCGGGGGACTGGTCGATGCTCTCGACGCGGACGAGGGATCCCCCGGAGGGGGTATTTACACGGCGGGGCCCGAAGCGCGCGCCCTCAGTGTGAACGGCCGCCAGCAGCCGGTTCATCCCGGCCTCGATGCTCTCGGGCTGGATTCCCCCCTCCGGCCACTTACTCACGCGCATCGTGAGTAAGACGAAATGGGGGGGTGCTTCGCAACCGGAAACGATCCCCTGCCAGAACATCCGGAAGCGGTGCAGCAGGGAGCCGGTCCAGGTTGCGAACCCGGTTAGGCCCGACCCGAAACTCGACCCGGTTTCAATGTCTCGCGAGGTTCGCTTGCGGGACCCGAAGATCGTATCCCCGCTGACGAGCGTCCACTCCCCGTCACGTTTCGTCAGCGAGCTGTGAACTAGAGTGGCGAGATAGACGAGGAAGAGCGGGAGCACGCTCAGGAAGAACGAGTTTTGGTAACTTCGGATGCCGCAGTATTCGATGAGCTTGGCCCACCCGCTCGCGGGGTCGACGATCTTGCAGCTGTTGCTGACGGGGATCTGGTACGTGTACTGGACCAGGATGTTGAACTCGGTGTAAATGAGCACCCCGAGCCAGAACACCCCCCCCGGCCCCGGGCTCGCGAGCAGCACGTACCCGAACAGCGCCGCGCCGTATGCTGACGTCAGCAGGCTGAAGTTCCACACGAACACGACGACGAAAAGCGCGTAGCAGACCACGTGGGTGTTGGCGCGCAGCAGCCGCGCCACGTAGCCCGCGATGATCCCCAGCTGCCGCATCGAGTCCCCAACGCTGCCGCCCTCCCCCTTTTTCCGCCCCGGTTCCTCCCCCACGGAGCGCGGCCAGCTGCCGGACCGCCGCAGCGCGGGGGCCGGTTTCTCGCTCGGCTTCTCCTCGCGCTGTCGGGGGCTCTCGTTTAGAACCGGGTCCTCGGCGTCAACCGCGTGAACGATCGGCACCGCGCCAAACAGCTCCCCTTCCGCCTCGTCTTGTTCCTCATCTAGTTTGAGATAGTCTACCAGATTCGCGAGCGCGCGATTTCCCAAAGTCTGCACCTGCGTGATCCCGTCGCCCAGAAAGTGCATCCCGGCAAGCAGCCGGACGTTCCGCCGGGCGACCTCCGAGTCCGACGTGGCCCTGTCAAGCTGCGACATGCGTCCGTTGCCTAACCGCGCCGGGACCGTAGGTTCCGCATACAGGGCCTCAGGTTCTATTTCCGGACTGCCGAACGCTTCCTTAGACGACCCCCCGTCTGTTCCTAGCACGCTCTCCATACTCCGAGTCCGTCTTTGCAGAGCCAACCCCTCGGGGCGCCTCCCCGGGGGGGTTGCTAAGCTGGGCTCCCGAGGGGGGGTTTCGGAAGCAAAGTCCAGCTTTCGCGAGGCCGGTCTCCCCTCGACCCGCTGTTCTTGCAGCTCAAACGACGGCTGCGGGGACGGCGTAACCGCGCTGTTAAGGAAGTCTAACCGCGTTTTCATCTGCACGATGTCTTTCTTCATCTTGTTGACCTGCGCCCGCCGGTTCCGCTTCACCTCCTCCGTCCGTTGGATCCGCTGGAGCTCCTGCTTCTTCCAGTCCGCGCGCCGCTCGTGCGCCTGCGCACGCGCGTACATCTCTTCCGCCTCTAGATACTGGCGCACCTGGGCGTGCTCGGGGGTGGTGAAGACCCAAGATTGAAGGGCGACCGCGGAGAAGATAATCATGTCCACCAGGGCGCCCTGTGCGCTCATTGTCACGCCTGCGGGCACAGAAAAGGACTTCGGACTAAAACCTTAGAGTGGTTGGGGAATACCAGGGATTGCCTTCATGTTGAATGTTTGCTAGCTCAAATGTCTTGAAGCCCAAGAAACAGTCGGCTTTGCTTTGCCTTTGCAGATGAAAAGTGAAGACTTATCAAAGGCCGCCCGGTCACTTTGTCCAGAACGGACTACTAGCCGGCCACAGTTGTTTCCCGGGGACAAACAAAGTAGGGGCAACGCATTCTCCTCCATCTAGAACGCCGTCCTGAACGGTCGGTCTTTATTTTATGCCTAGTTGACAGTTAGCGTGGAAAAAGCTACCCAATCTACTCAACTCAAAACCAGTGTCACGTATCCCCGACTCCAGACTTCAAATCTCATAACACCAACCAGAGATTCAAGAGAAGTCACTTCGCCAGAGCCGTCGCCTGCTCCTCACCATACTCGTACTTGTACAGCCCAATGATGTTCCAGATGTCGTACGGCAGGCTGCACGAGCGCGCTGTTTTGTACTCAAACGCGGGCGCTTGGTAGATAAGCGATGCGATGATAAGCAGGAAGTTGTACAGGCGCAAAAAGTTGAGGATGGCGTTCCCCTTGTCCATGATCTGGCTGCGTATGCGGAAGAAGACGAGCGAGAAGGCGAGGTAGCCGAAGTGGAGCAGGTCGTAGTTGAGGGACCCCGTCGCGAAGACGAGTGTCAAGACGAGCAGCAGCAGGTGCCTGCGGAATGTTTGACACCGTCGGGATGTGAACAGGGAAGTGACAAGGAACGTCGCTGCCGTCATGATCCATGGGAGGGGTTCGAGTTTTTACGGAAAATGGATTTGACGGACAAGACTACTCATTTTCTGCTGCCTCCGGAAGCTATAAAACGGGGTTGCTTGCCACCAAAATGGTGTGGACACAAAAACAAAGGTTCGACATCATCCTACAAGCGTCACTCGACTCCTGCGAAACGAGCTTTGACAAGCAACGTGCTGAGCCTTAAAGGCGAGTTTCCTCCGTCCGTCTTTTTTCAGGATCAGGCAGATTTTCTCGAAGCAGACGGCAATCACCGTATCGAAGAAATGTCCGAGAGCGACATTGGGTACACCAGGAGCGGTGCCGGTTACCTGTAGAACCAGAAGCGCACGTGGTCGAGCCACGTCCACTGGTTAACGCTGTCGTACGTCATGGGCCGCCACGCGTCCTTCATCGCCGCAGAGATGGGCACTGGACGGTAGCGCCCTGCGGGCGTGTCTCCGAGTGCCACGTGGACACGGTGCTGATAGGCCGCCAGCAGGAACACCAAAAAGTGGGCCGCAATCATCTGCTTCTCGTCGGCGGCAGCGCCTAATGTGGGAGGAAAGTTTTGTGTGATGAATGGGCGAGCGAAGTTTCGACAGAAGGTTTGTGTGATGAGTGCGCGGGCGAGCGAGGTTTCGAGGTACATACATTGCAGTGAACCTGGAGGATGACGAACTCGAGCACAACAGAGTTTTTTTCGATTTGAACTACGTTTCCACGCCCAAGGACAGAGAACGGCTAAGATTCGTTGAGAATCAGACGTTATGGTAATCAATGGAACAGAGGAAAGGCCCAATCTCGAGGCCTTGTACGAAAACAGTGGCTTTAGGGATCGTAATGGGTCTCCTAACTCCTGCGCAAGAAGGAAGCTTCAACGGCAACATAAAAGAGGGAACTGTGCCATGTAGCTTTTGTTCGGTCGGCTTCAGAAACTCTTATGACGTTCTGGTTCAGTGACACTCCGAAAGTGTTCTTCTCACTCTTCTCCAGCCTGATTCTTTACAAAGGCATCACGCCACAAAATCAGTCCCGTCATTTCTTCAAACAAAGAATCGAGCATACTCTGGATTCTCAAGATCGTACCCTCACCTAGCCAGCACATCCAGCAGTGGCGGTCATTCGCCTCCGTGCAGTCCCAGCACCCGTGACAGCTCCTCTCCCCCCCGTTGTTGCCCCAGGGCAGACCCCCCAGAATCGCATATTCCGCCAACAGAATCCCGGCAAACAAGCCCACTAGATACGGCCACACGCGCCGCACACTCCGCCTCTCCATAACCACGCACGCCCCCAGTATCGCCACGTAAACCAGCGAGAATACGTTGAGCACCGCAAACGCCGCGAACAGGAGGACTAGCATGGTGAGCTCCAGGCCCTGGAAGAGGAAGAAGTGCTCGGCGCAGTGCTTGAGGTGCACCTTCACACTGCGCAGCTGCGCCTGGTAGCGCTCCTGCTTCAGCGCCTGGTGCGCCCGGCGCGCCCACTTGAGCGCGCGCACCCCCGCGCTGCTGCTTGTGCTCAACCGAGGGGGCGTCGGAGTCTCTGCCACGTCAACCCCCTGGAACGACGCGGTCTCACTGGGTTCAGGGGGCGTTCGCGGGACTGGTGCACGCTTACCCGACTCCGAGGTTGGGGGATCCCCCAGCAGGGGCTCGGTTTCCGGACGCCCGCGCCGTAGCAGCTTCGTGTCGGACGACCTCCGGGCGGTTCGGATCGGGGTTAGTTGGTTAACCGGGCGCAGGCTGGGGGGGGTTTGGGCGGAGGGGGCGGCACTTGCGGCGTGGGAAGCGAAGAGCGAGCACGGTTCTACGTCGTTAGCGTCTCCTTTCAAGGAGGGGGGAAGGGAGTCGAGCCACGCGAGGCTGACTAGCTGCAGTACTGAGGCGGCAAGAACTAGGACTTTGCTAAGGAGACCGGCTTCGGTTGCGTAGAACCCCTCCCCCCAGACCTCGAACCCAATCCACTCAAGAAGCCGCTCGTACCTCGTGCCCGCGATATGGTGCCCCAGGATTTGGAAAAGGTATCCGGCGGCCGCTAGGAGGGCCGTGTAGATTATGTACACTCGCGGCGGGGTTTGGGAGGTTTTGGGAAGGAGGCACGTGACGACTAGAAAGAGAAGGTACACGAACCCCACTAGGCTGACGGGGGAAAGAGCGGCGTAAAACACGGCGAACGCGACCGCTTTATGGGCGTGGATTATCACCAGGCGCTTGAGGAACGCGAGGATTCCGGAGACTGGCTCGATGGGCTCTTCCCCGGGGTCTTCTACCGAGTCCTCGTCCAGGCCGGATATCGACCGGTTGTATCGGTACATTTGCACCGTGCACAGCAGCACGGCGCAGTCCCACAGCTTCTCGATCAGGGGGGCAGAGCCGGTGTCGAACCCTATGTCTTGCATAACCCCCCGGGAGAGCCCGAACGTCCGCATGACGTAAGCGAGCAAACTCGGGAACGCGCCGAAGACGTAGCGCAGCACGCCGACCACTCCCAGGAACACCATGAACGGGACCCATAACCGCGAGTGCCGCACGTTGTTAACCGCGTGGTTAGCGATGACCCAGGTTAGGAGGAAGGCTAGATACGTGAAGCCGACGAAGCTGTGGGGAACTGTGTAGACGACTAGTAGCGCGGTGACATAAGCGATGTAGATCCCCCATTGACGATAGGCGCGGTTAACCGTCCTAACCATTTCGGTTAGCTTGGCGGTGGACCAGTGGCTCTCCATCCGGTCGCGAAAGTTTTCCCCTTCTAGTTGCTTGAGGCTGCGGACCCCGTGGTACTGAACGGCTGAGAAGCAGAGGAGAGCAGCCACGCCGGCAAAGTCCTTGAGCACAGAAAGGCGCCAGAGACCTGCGTTGAACAGCAAGAGAGTTGGGGATGCGCAAGGGGGAAATAGTGGAGAAATCAGCGTTCGGGCGAAAGTCAGCCAGCTGGCGTATGACGGCCTCGAGACGAGGGCACGATTAATGTCGACGAGTAAACATATGTGGGTTGATCGACGAGTAAACATATGTGGGTGGATCGGTCTGGAAGAAGGTGAAACTGAGCTGCGACTTAGGGGATGGAAAAAGCAAGGCTCAACCATCCAAGACTCCCAAGCAGAACAATCAGTTGCATAGAGTTGCCAGAAAGCTGCGAGCGGGGACAGGGGGGAAAGAAGGGACATAGTGCGAGGCTCAAAGAAAGCACGGCCCAGCTTAGATGACACGCGAGGTCAATGCTTATGCGCTTTCCCAGGTCTTCGCATACAAGAGAGCACCAAACGTAAAGACGAGTTTATCCTCGAGATGACAATCATCTCCGCTCACCGATGACGTCTAGGATGGGCCGCCACTCGTCGGTGCGCAGGCCCTGAAACCAGGCGAGGCGGAAAAGGTACAGCACGGCGAAGTGCACCTCGCAGTAGGTCACGAGCCAGATGCTGAGCACCTTGGCGCTGCGCGGGAATACCAGGTACACCAAAAAGAACACCACTGCGAGAAGGAAGGGGCCCTAGTCAGCAGCTGCTCCACAACAAAATACTGGTTGAAGAATACGCAACGTCTATATCAGTCAATTCGCGACGTTTGCCTGGAGTTTGATTCTGTAGAAGGTAACACACGAGGGAATGGCGATTCACGAAGCGAGTGTCTTTTCAAAAGTAGGAGCATCGAACGATGAAGAGGGCAATGCCCAGCAGACCTATCTCAGGCCAGCCTCTTGATAGTGGAGAAAAATAACTACCCTTGACTAGTAACCTCTTTACTGAGAGGGAGAAGTCGCTCCTCAACAAAGGCTATGCCCTGACCGCTTTGCTCCGCTCGACTTGGTTAAGCCTTTGAAACGGTTCTCTAGACAAGGATCCGGACAAAATCCTCAGTGCGAAAGAGACGGCGGCTCACTGTAGATGGCGTGCAGCAGGTCGAGCGCGGAGATGCCGACGAAGAAGAGCACGACGAGCGCGCCGACGTGCGCGCTTTTGCGGATGCAGTAGCTGGCCAGCGCAAACACGAAGATACGGTGACCGTGCGCCTCGGGCAGGGGCGGGGCTGCGAGCGACGAGGAGCAGAGAGAGAAGTTTCAATCGTATGCGGCGCTTGATGATCGTGATTAACATACCAACAGTTCTTGGAAATAATGTTGGTAGGAGTGTATTTGATGTGGATTTCAGGTAATTCTTGTCCAAGTGGTCACACGCTCTATCAAAGAATGCTAGCATAAAGTCACTCTTTCAGTAGTCTCAGCTACCCATTTCAATCTGCATCTAGTTCATAGAGCTACCACTTTTCAACTTTCCACTCGCTGACACGACAATCTTTTTGGGAGCTTGCATTAACTTGCATCAACCTCTAACAAAAGCAATCTCCTCAATCACTTTTTAAGATGAAGCACCCGAAAAACTCTGGTGCATCATTTGCACACCCAGCAGGGCACCAGCCACGCTTCCAACAACCAACTCTTTGTTTCGATGCTTACTTCCTGATACAGGCTCTGCCGCGTCTTCACAATGTAATTCACAGGGCGCCATCCTCCACACATGTTAGGAAAGCCAACACAAGCTGCCTGCCAGACAACCCAGACCAGCATAGAAAGTAACACCGGGCTCTGATTCGGTGCCTTACCTTCTTGGTACAGGCTCTGCCGTCCCTGTGGTGCGCCATCTGCTTCCGCCTCCTCTTCGGCGTCTCCTTCCAGCACGATGTTCCGCGTATAGACGTCGAGCGCCATCAGCCCCGCCAGCAGGAACTGCGCCAGAATGAGGCCCCCCGGCCGATGGTACCGCCACAACCCAATGACCGTCCAAAACGCGTCCTGGGGTAAAGCAACAAAGGTTCTTCATTGTTTTGGCGTAAAAGCTCGAGGGAAAGCTTGGAACTTGACTGCCACGTTTGGCGGAGACACTCGTGCTTCCAACCGTCTGATCATGTTTCGCGCAGTGAAGGGTTTGAAAGCAGGACGGGATATATTAGGCCATCTGTGCTCTGTGAAAACTTGCAGTCGTCTCTAACCGAATAGATACTTGCAGTCATCTCTACCAGAGCAACCAGCTCGGAGCAGAAGTTTGAAGTCCGTGAATCTTCCACCAGGTTGCGTATCCTGGCAGCAACGGACAAAGACGAAAGTCGTCACGCAGGTAGCACAATCTGGATTCGCTTCTCACATCGTTTCCTCTGCCAAGTAACTTCTAAGTACGAGTAAGCGTCCCTAACTACTTACGACAACAACTCGACCGTCAGCATGACGTCAGCGGGTCGCTCACCGGGTCGCGTACACCGGCTGCATTAAAGAAGTACATGGCGAGCGTCCAGAGGAGGATGTACGCGAGCATGATGGGGTTGGTGCGCTGCAGCCGCGTGGATGACGGGAAGGAGAAGAAGACGAAGGCCACGAAGACGAGCAGGCCGAAGGACGCCACGCAAATGTCCACGAAGCTCCACGTCACCAGGGCGACCAGGCACAGCTGCGAATTGGGCAGGGGGTCGCCGAGATTAGGCGTAACAAGTGAGAATGTGTGGGCGAAAATTGCAGAACGCAGAAAAGTCATGGTGGTTTGTAAAAATTCTGTCTGGAAATAGGAGGACCGTCTTTCTCCGTTCACGTGGGTTAACGTTCTGAATATTTGACGTTCAATTCAAACCTATGGAACGTGTTCTGTGTCACAACTGGCTGCGACAACAAAGGGCTTGCTTGATTCCCCAGCACCGTCTCAGGATCACCCGCCTTCTTGAATCCTCAAAATGATTGAATGCAAGGCAACAACCCTGGTCGGCAATCCTCTGCAACTGAGAAGACGGGGGTGTGAGCAAGCAAACGGACAGCAGCTGACACAAGCTTGTACTCAAACCGTTCAAAACAAGGCCCGCTCACCGGAAACCCGTACGTGTAGAAGCTCCGGAGGGCCTGCCAGTGCACAGCCACTCGCCGCTGCCGAACCACCCACGGCCTGTAAGCAAAAGAAAATAGCGAGAGTCAGCACTGGTAATCCAAGCTCTGATTCAACAAGCTTGTCAACAAACAAAAGCCTGATTGCTTCTCAATCTTTGCTATTTTGCTTCACAGTAAGCGAGAAAGGAGAAAGAGGCTGCTAATGAAAAGCACAACGAAAAGCAGCCACGCTGGTGGCTGATAATACCGTGATGCTAATGAGCTTTTTGAGGACCACGAGGATCTCTGTCGAAGACCGCTCAAATACTTGAGGCCGTCTCCAGATCGGCAAGTCACAGGGTGAAAACTTAGCAATCGCAAATCATCCAACGCTCTAACAATGAGGTTTGGCGAGGACTCTTCTGAGTAGATTGAGCAGAAAGCCTTCAGATTGACGAGGGAGTCGGAACCCACGTGCTGGAGTCTCCCCGCGCATTTGCCATCTCTCGCTCGAGAAGGCTGGTCGTGAGTGAGTTGCTCCGCGACAGGGTTGGGCTGACGTCATCCTCGTCGGTGCTGACGCCGTTCAACGGGGAGCCCAAAACGGGGGGCTCGTCCTCGCCCGTGGCCAACCGGTGGCTGATGGCCCCTGACAACTGCAAAATGTCAGGGGGGGTTTTATAACGCCCTGGTGACAACGGAGAAGTATTATGGGCCACAGTTTGAAGAAACTTTGTTACAAAGAGCAATCTCATAGAGCAGTCAACCGATAAATATTGCAGACTCGAACTCTGTGGCTCCAGCATGAACAGCAGGTTCGCTCGGTCAGCTTCGTAATGAAGGGAGTGCGGTTAGAATTTGCAATCGAAATCATTGAAGCTCTTGAACTCCAGCTCCGAGTAATGTTCTAAGCAGTGGCCAACTGCGTGATGCATAAAATCCTCCAAGAACTGCCGTTGAGACAAGGGCCTGGTTACTAGAAGGAAGGATCGGCTAAAAAGTTCGAAAGAGGTGTGTAAGTCCACGTCTCAGCTCGCCGTCTCACCATGACAAAGAGGAGGAGCAGTGCGGCAGCCTGTCCAAGTTCTGGCCACGCTCCTGAGGTCCACGTGTCAATCTGGTAGAGGCCCACGTCCTGTGCCAGTCCCGCAAGCGCGCTGGTATGTACAACCGGGAACTGAAACAGGTACAGCAGAAGGCTGTGCGCGCCGCAGTACAGCAACAGGGGCCGCCATGCCCTGAGACCGAGGAAAGCTTGTGCTAGTCAGCGGCTAGGTTACGATACCTCGCAAAGCTCATGGAAGATTTGCGAGGGGTTTTAGCCAGGTTTCGACCCTGAAGATGGAGGCGATCTCTGCACGCTCCAGATAAATGAGTGTGATCTCATGTGTCAAACGAGATGGCGCACGAATTGAAGAACCGCATATATCGTTCAGCAATAATCTTTCCAAAGCATTAATCTCGAGCGGAAGGGTCGAGAAACTGGTTACTTTCAAGCAAGCACGAGACGTCTTCCAATCAATCATGAGGGCGACTAGTCCAGAAATCGACAAACACCGAACAAGTCATACATGTACCGGAAGCACATGTTTCGTCAGAAGAAGCCATCAACCGTGTCGAGCGGATTTAGACGCTGCATCAGCTGCTGACGAACAAATCCAGACCAAGCGCAATCGAGCGTGAATCTTACCAAAAGAAACCATTGAAGGTCCTCACAGTCGCCCAGCATGACAGCGAGACGCAGGCGAAAAGGAAGTAGAGGGCGGCGACCAGGGAGGGCCGGAGGGCGCCCGCAAGAAGCACGGCAGCGGGGAAGCCGACGTGGCGGGCCAGCTTCCGCCAGCGGGACATGCTGCTGTCTGCTGCAGCGGGCAGAACCAGTAGCTCAGCAGGGGCAGGCCCGGGGCGCCCGTCTATTTTGAGCACATACGAGGCAGCACGCCAGAAAGCGAAAGCTGAGCTTGAAAACTGTTCGAATCAGTCGGTCCTGAACTCCTTTGAATTGATTACTGACTTTTCATTGGCCGAGTGTTCTTCTGTGGGTTCTGTGGATGCCATTTAGAGCAGCGATCTTATGTGCGGCGATTTTAAACGAACAACATTCTCGGAGAAAGTAAAGTGCGCCTTTTCGAAGTAAAGAAGACTAAAAGAAAGAAGCGGAAGAAGAAAGCTACATCCTAGCTGGACCTCAGCTTGGAAAATGGCTATCCAGCAACCGATGAGAACCTCGTCATTGATTGGCTAGCGGCCCTGTTAGCCACAAGGCCGCTAGGGAGGAAGTACTGTTGCTTACAACCCGCTGACATAGGGCCTGAACCACCGTTGCACTGAGTTTTCCAACTCTTCAAGCAGGACAAAAGCTCCCCAGTCTTCTTTGAAATCCAAATGTCTTCAACTATGGAGTGTCAAGAAGTTTTGTTGCGAAGTTCGCTTCCCATGACTCCACTCGTTTGATACTCATGGTCTTGTCCTCGTTTCTAACTTCTTGTAGGGGCAATTGGTCTTCATCAAGTAAGAGGAAAAACTAGGTCGAAACCCCTCTTTGAAACCGATGACGCCCTCGGAAACAGGGCAACCCTCCTTGGCCCAAAACTGTCTTCTGACAGCACTGTGGGCTTTATCTCGTGAGAACAGTCCTCGAAAGAAGCTTTCCTTCGCGCCGGAAGGGCTTACCTGCCAAGCGCCGGGCTCGCCAGGGGGCATAGTGGAGCTCGCTATATAGTGCACAAGCTGCTGTGAGAATCACCCCTAGCTGAGGCCCCAGGGAAAGGGCTAGAACTGACGAGTCACGCCACGGGCCCGGACTGTCAAATGATTGGAGGAAAGGGGCGTCAGAAACAGATCTTATATAATATAAGTCCAGGAAAAGCCGCCATCAGAAGATGTCTGTAGCAGCCGGTAAGTTTATCAGGAGTAGATGCTCCAGGGGATGTGTGACTGACGGAAGCAGAAAAGATTATAGAGGAGGCATAACCAATTGAAAAGCAAAGAACATAAAACATGAAGACTGTCGTCAGCATGAATGTTGTCAACAGTTGAGTAATCCTCAAGGAGCGGCCACTTTGTCCCTCAGAGGACTTCAACAAAGGTGGACTGTATCGGCTCAAGCAGCTGTCATCCCGGTTTTACGCTAAAGCTTTTGGAGAAAGGAACTCTTAAAGTTACCCATCATAGCCAAGGAGCCACAGCCAGAACTTTGCGACCCTTGAGTGCGCCCACTCTTCCCCCTGCGACAGGTAGCTGAGCTGCACTGCCACCTCAGCCACAATGACCCCCGCCGCCAGAAGAAGGACGTAGGTCCACACTTGACTACTGGACACCAAGTACCAGTCTGCAGTTGAGAAAGAGAACTTACTTCGATTTTTAGTAGGACAGTTGAGACCATGCTTATGCCCTTTCACTACTGATTCAGGCCTCTTTTTAGTTATTTCAAATCGTCCTGAAAAGTTCTGGGAAGCATGAGAAACAGGGGTGAGCAACTTTAGAAACGTCTGACCTTGGTTATTTGTAGATATGAAAACTCACAGTTGATGCAATGTTGAACAAACGATTCAGACTTGGCAGAGGTTCATATGTCTGTATCACCGGCTCAATGCAAGAGGGCGGTGCCAAACACAGCCCCCAACCAGCTTGTGGCTGCTAAGTGCTATCTTAAACTTCAGAGTGTTTGTTAAATAGTTCGTTAAAGTAGTAGGAATATCAATCTTCCATTTATACTTAGCTGGTGCTGTACCACCACCGAAGACTAACTGCCTTACCCCGCCTAGTTGTCCGGTACTGAGTGAAAGCAAAGGCCAGCAAGAACAGCAGCGACGCAGCATTTGGCCGAATGAGCGCCGCTGCAGATTGGGAGCAACAGTTAGAGCAGTGAGATCTCAGTCCTGAAAATGAACGAAGTCGACACAAATGCATCAGTTCAGATAAGAAGTAATCTATGCTCTTAGGTTGATGCAAGGACAACATACTCTGAAGAATTTGCAAACGTTGCTTAGAATTGTTATTTCTGAGGATAGCAACAGAGTTGGCTTGCAATCAGTCTTCACAAAATCACAAGGGATGCACTGAAAATTGACCTGTGGCAGTGCCAGGTGCTCATTTCAATTCAAGCTGGCGCATCCTCATTTGGATACTTATGGAATCTCACCGGCAGCCAGTGCGAATGGAGCTGCCCCACCCACACTAGCGGTGACCATCTTCAGCATTGCTCCTCTTTACCAGGCAGACCACACATCATCGTGTTTTACACCAACTTGAAGGGGCTATAAACAGGCCCCAGCGTTGCCACCATGCTTCATATTGAAGTACTTCCAGGAAATCCAAATCCACATCACAGATTTCTCCAACTCTGATTGAGGCTCTTTCTAACGCCAATGGCAAAAGTGGAAGGACCAGCTGGCACTGCACTAGCTGCACTAGCTGCACTAGCTGCAGCCTGCAACTTGCAAGAGACTGCATGGTTTGTGCAGATTCCAGATTGGCTTAGGGGAGGTTAAATTGAGAGTTACAGTAACCGCTCCCTACTGAAATTTGCATGTCAAGATGAAGTGCCCGGGGCTGCATGCCGGGACAAACATCAACAATACAGAAATCATTCAATGCCAGCCGGGAGATGGTTGGGGGCTGACAAACTGTCTTGGTTACCATCGGACATTAACCCATGGCATTTGGGGTTTAATTAGCTAAGAGTATCGGCCCTAATTCCGGAATTTTGCGATTCCGGACGGGTAAAGCAAAAACCTTATTACGGACATAACAGATTAGGTCGGTAAGTTGACACATGGTGTCCGGAATAGCGTTTGAACCATCCGGAATTGGAACTGGTGAAAGCCCCAGCGTGCTCGGTAGACTGCTTTGTTAGGTCCGGAATAAGGTTTTCGCTTTACCCGTCCGGAATTGCGAAATTCCGGAATTAGGGCCGATACTCTGAGTCTTTAAGCGTTTAACAGCTAGCGCCTTCGAGGAAGGGAGCCCTGTGATTGCAGTCCTGCAGTGCTGCTCAGCCAATTTTGCATGCAGCTCAGCAGCTCTCTATAGAATGCTGAGCACACAGTTGAAGGAGGGCAGACGAAGAAGCGCTTTGTTGTTGCTCTATCTGGTCTTGCAATCTTCTTTGCATGAGCATCGGCGATCTACCACAGCTTGAGCGCTAGGAGGAAGCCGCTAGTGGTGATTGGAACCAGTTGTGTGTTATTTCTCGAGGCGGGACCCCCTGTACTGAACTTGCATGCACCGCACTTTTTATTAATCAAGGATTAAGGTCCTTCTGTTCCATTGGTCCACTTTCTGACAAGCAAGCTGCAAAGTGGTTGAAAGCCTGGTCTAGTAAAGGGAGGTAATTGCAACGCTGCTTTTGTTGGTCTAGTGAACAGGTCAGCATGTCGTTGGAGGTGAAGATCTTGAGCGGCTCGCATCTGAAGGACGTGAAGACCATTGGACAACAGAGTCCTTACGTCGAGGTCAACTTTGGCTCCCAGCAGAAGCTCACGCGCACGGCCACTCAGGGAGGGAAGGAACCGGTCTGGGACGATGTTTTCAGGTTTGAGATTGGCAGCGGAGAATGGGCGAACGACATGTTGAAGCTCCGCATCCTGGCAGACGGGACTCTGGGGCGCGCAAAGGAGGTTGGGAGGGTGAACATCCGCTTGAGGGCCCTGGTCAAAGCGGACGGCTCAGTTGAGGAGAAGCCCTACTTTTCAGCATATCAAGTGCTGCGGCCAAGCGGCAGGCCCCAGGGCGTGTTGAATGTTGCTCTGAGCGTCAGGGACGCCCCAAAACCTGCCCCAGAGGTTACTGCACCGAGCACCCCCCCAGGAACGGAGTACTCCAGAGCAAGGCCCTGGGGGGGAAGCGGTGTTCCTCCTGGTTATCCAGCGGGAGCGGGGATTGCACAGGGGACCCCCTATCACGCGCAGGCAGGGTATAATCAAGGGCAGTATCAACAGTCCCCTTATCAACAACAGCAGTACCCTCCGCAAGGCAATGTGCCATATTTCGCCCCGCAGATGGCGTATGCAGGGCAGCCACAGTACGGCAGGTATGGCGGCGGGGGAGGGCTGTTTGGAGGTGGCATGGGTGGGGGTATGGGAGGTATGGGAGGTATGGGTATTGGAGGCATGGGGGGTATGGGAGGTATGGGTGGGGGCCGTTTCAGGCCTGGTCTTGGTACAGGGCTGATGGGCGGGGCTCTAGGAGGCCTTCTCTTGGGAAGCATGTTGGACAATGACCATCACGGAGGTTATGGCAGCGATGGGTACAGTGATGGGGGCTATGGGGACGGCGGAGGCTATGACGGTGGGGGCTATGGCGATGGGGGAGGTGATTTTGGAGGCGGCGATTTTGGGGGCGGTGATTTTGGTGGCGGCGACTTCTAGCTTTGGTAGAGGCCACGAGGAGGTGTTTGCAGGCGTGAACCTTAACGACCCGCACTTTTGTAACATATACCAATCGGCGCGCGCCAGCGTAGGTTAAGTAAAGCATTATGTATGTAGACTTTTAGCCGCTTCGCTCGCGTAGGTAAGAGTTGGGCTGTCCGACTTGAAGTAAGTCGGTTCGTCCGGTTGAGGTGATGCATTCAGCGTCTTGTAAGGATGGCCGCTCAGCAAATGCTTGTTTTACAATTGACATTGCTTTTCAGTCCATTAAAGAGTCGCTTCTTCAGGGTGATCAAGAAGCTGCCCAAATCTTCACATGCATGCATTATGTGTACATGTGCAGATCCTTTTGTTGACGCGCCCATGCAAGGCTGATTAATCTTCTTTTACTGCAATGGCTGAGTTCTTATATAACTTGGCATGATAATGTTGCATGCATACGTGCTCGACTCACGAATTCCAATGAATGATCGCACTAAAATCGATCTTGTCACGCCAGATTGGCTCCTTGCCATAGCGTGTCCTGAGCGCGCGCGTGCGCGTATCGCGCCGCCGCCACAGGCTCATAGCCTATGCACGGCCATAGCCTATTCATGTTGGACCCTTCGTTTATTGGGGTCCATGCATTTTGGCCCCTTTGCATTATTCGCATTTAATGCATGGCGCAACCCTTGACCCCCTCAAGGGGGATACCTTT